AGAAAAAAAAAAACCTGAAAGTTTAGAGTCATCTGCCAGGAAAAGGCTGAAAAATCAGTCCCACAAAAAGCTGAACACTGGAAAATCAGGGTAGGTACAAAAAAAATCCCCGAAAACCAGGAATTTCAGGGAAAAAATCCAGATATCGTAGGGCCTGGCGGCGTTCTGGCCAGTCGGGGCCGGTTGAGAGGGTTGCGAGGATGTTCCCGCATCGCCGTTCCGCAATGTTTGGAGCCCTTGCTCCAAGCTGGTGAGTCGCTGAAGGAGTTGTGCGAGGACTTCGGTACCGATCGTTGTCGTTCCCTCGCTTGTCGCAGCCGGGCTGGTTTGCGCTTCAGCCGTCAGATTAGTCTGACCACCAGATCCTCCGGCCATTCTCACACGCGAGCGTGTGCCGGACGCCACTTTCCGAATGTCGTAATTTTCGGGAGTGGCAGTGCGAAGGATTCCCGAGTCGCTCTCATACCATGCTACGATCCGAGAGGGGATCGCTCCCAGGATCTACTCGGGAAGGTTCGCACGCAGTTAGATTAAGACAAGACTCTTCAAGGAGTCTGCAGAGCAGTCGTCATAGCATTCCAGATCTCAATCATACAGCACACTAAATCGCAATTTACATAAAAGTTTTGTATAACTAAGTAGACTAAGGAAATTTCAACTCTACAGGGATAATCTGTCGCTTCAACCATACCAATGCGATGTAGCGTGAGGGTGGGAGGGATGGGTTGTAGATTCAGATCTACGAATGAATTAGACTAGGTGGCAGGTCCGTGGACCTGCCACGAGATATTGAACTGTTGACTCCTTACTGCATCATCCTTTACAACTCTCTTAAGACAAGACTCTTCAAGGAGTCTGCAGAGCAGTCGTCATAGGACACACGAGACATTAGGGAGCAGATTAGAGTGGAACTATGTTCCACTCATGTAACTTGCGTTGAAAGGAGTTCCCATCAAACATGGAACGACGAAATGCGAATGAAGCGCACGTGCGAGTAAGCTCGCAAGGTGGTAAGAAGAACTGGAGGCGGGTGTTGCGCGACAGTGCGATGCAGCTGGAAGGCGGTGTGGGCCTACTACAAGGATGCGTAAGACTGACTCTTCTTGGAAGACGAGCAATCATGCGTTGACCGTTGCCACGTCCAGATAACAATGCGGATTTGACGGGCGTAGAGCTAGCTGGACGTATAACTTTCCCGAAATAAGAGGGTGCATCATTTGGTAAATCGGTTAAGTCAGGCACAGTCGAATGCTAGCGTTTCAGATGAAGCTTCAGAAAGTGGCATGTGATATGTCACTGTAGTCTTGGAGACTACTAAAATCACCATAGGTTTAAGAGCAACCAGGGTATGCTCTCGGTCCCACATATATCACCATGTCGCACACTTGGACGCCATGGAAAGGTGCCCGCTCCCTCGTGTCGAATCACCAACACCTCCACATATGCTTTTGAATAGACTGTGCGTTTTGACGCTAACGAATAATAACATATACCAGGTAGTGTTTGGGTTGGAATTCTCATAGGGACCGTTGTTTAATGGGGAGGATACCGTTGCGGTTTGCCATCCTCGTGAGTCAAATGGAAACTGCGTATTGGCGACCGTCTTTCGCAAACTCAGTATGAGTTATACAAATAGACCTTGAGCAACACGATAAAGAGAGAAGCGGCGCTCTAAGAAAACCAAATCAACATGTTAGTTTGATTGTACGGGATTGTCTGTGTAAAATAGGGTTGGGGACGTAACCGTCACTGCCACGTTTTCCATTACATTATCCGAGAAGAGCGTGCATGTGCTGATTCGGGTGCGGTAAACACCGAACGCTTATTCTTATGCAACACCTGGGTTTAGCAGATTCATGGTCATGCAGTAGAAAATGAAATCATACTTGGAGGGAGTGACGCGTGCGCCAAGTCTCCAATATATTGTGCTTTCACTGAGACCCTTAGTATGGGAGAGTTGTCAGGATAGTTGATATGTGACTGAAACATTGGTCGTATGTGCCGTATGTATGCACATAGCGTCTTCTATTACAAACTTAGAGATGCGAGCGGGGTGTGTCGAGTTCCAACCCAAAGTTGGGAGTGCGTCAAGATGTGTTCGAGTAATTCATCGTGGTCCACATATGCTCGCCATGTGCGACATCATGCGATAAGTCCGGGAAAATGGAAAACTGTTTATTAGGAGTCACAAAGAGTACGATGGCGCGTTGGACTTGCTGATAAAGTGTCAACAGATACAGTACGGGGTACGGACTCAAACTGTTGTACTATCCGCATACGCCGTGCTGCCGAGTAAGGCGCGCGCTCTTTGCAGGAGCCTTTGGGTACATTCTTGTATCGACACAAGGGTCTCGATGCCGCCATAGAAGCAATGTACCGGTCTGCACCACATTTCATACACGAATCGAACATTTCCACCGCATTGTATCTTGTCGTTTGAGACGCAAGGCTTTGTGACGCGCTCCAGGAATGCATCATTTGACAAGTATATGGAAGAGGTATAGTTGAACTCCGAGGTAGTTCTTCGTTGGATAGAACGGTGTTGTAATATAGCAACTACCCTGCTGGGTAGGTGTCGTGAACGACAGTCGTTGCTGCACAATCCGCGCTGAATAACAACGATTTCAGCATAAAATTATCAAGTGGTGGTTGAACTGTAGGTGGCACTGGTACATTCGTGAGAATATTGGCTTCTTCATAGACTGGGAACCAATGATTCCGACGTACATGGATGCCAAATTATTACGATTGTATATTGGTGGCATGTTTATGCCAGAGAAGGTTGATTGATTTTTTTTTTTTTTTTGCCGCCAATGGTACCCCTTCAATATTAATAATATTCGATAAGAGAGGGTTTTTTATGTTTATATATATATAGTGACTCGTGAAATAGTTTGTCAGCAGTCTTGTCCAACCAAACCATGTTTGCAACGCCTGAACGTTGCAACAAGAGGTAGAAGCTTGGTAATGTTTCTCGTATTGCATGAAATGAAAGCAATGGCAGAAATTAATTTCATTTCTGGAACACACTCATTCCATTATCCATGATAATTCTTAGTCAGAACGGCTTATAATTATTGGAAACTGCCAATCACGTATATTGACGTGGGCGCAAAAGAGAAATGCACTGGCCCTACCGCCTGGTGCACAATAGTGCTCTTTTTTTTTTTTTTTGTTAACATGTCCCTTCCCTTTCAAAGGGTTAAAATCTTTCTGGGCACCACAAATCTCTTGTAAATCTTCCTGCTGGGCGTTACCAGGATAGTAATTCCATAGCCACCAGCAAATCACATTTTTTTGTTACGCACAGTAGCGTCAGCAACTTCAACAAAATTGTCGCTGGATGCTGCTGTAGCTGCTACTCCGCCAGGCACAGCAGGGCGAGCCTGCTAGCAGCACTCATCGATCCCGCGATAGTGGCAGAGCGCACTAACAGCAGCAGTAGAAAAAACGCTCGAAGAGCGGCAACAGCAGCAGATCGGGCTCACAGCAGTAGTAGATCACGCTCGTCGCAGCAGCAGCAGAGCGCGCTCATCGCAGCAGTAGCAGATCGCGCTCACGGAAGTAGCCACAGCAGATCGTGATGAAAGCAGCAGCGGCGGATCGCCTTTATAGCAGCAGCAGCAGCAGCAGATCGCGATTGTATCAGCAGCAGCAGATCGCGATCGTAGCAGCAGCAGCAGATCGTGATTTTGGCAGTGGCAGATCGCGATTATGGCAGCAGCAGATCACGATTGTATCAGCAGCAGCAGATCGCGATTGTATCAGCAGCAGCAGATCGCGATTGTATCAGCAGCAGATCACGATTATAGCAGCAGCCCCAGCAGCAGCAGCAGCAGCAGCAGCAGCAGCAGCAGCAGATCGCGATGAAAGCAGCAGCAGTAAAAACAGCAGGTCGCGCTTATAGCAGCAGCATCAGATGGCGTTCACAGCAGCAGCAGGAGATGGCGCTAACGGAAGCAGCGAAAACGCCGAAGTGGCAGCAAAATCGCCGAAGCAGTAGCGAAAGTGAAGCAGTAGCGGATTACGCAACCGAGCCATCCAGGAGCTCGTGCAACAGCAGCCCGCGGCGCTCGCAGCAGACGCCGCAGCAGCTTCGTCGTGGGCAGCAGGTGCAGCAGCGAGAAATTTCGGCAAGATTAACCTTCACCGCAGCGATGTTTGCCATGTTAAGCCGAGCTATTGACCTCGTCATGTTCCAATGCAGCAGCGAAGCGGAACCGTCACCCGCGGCATCAATCTCGTCATGTTCTGAGGCAGTGGCAACAATTTCGCCATGGTCACTTCAGCAACAGCAGCAGCAGCCGCATTAATCGCGTCGTGTGTCGCGAAATAAAGAGCATGTGAAAGCAGCCGGGGCAATGGTGGAAGTGTTTAGGCTAGGAAATGGAAAGTTAGTAGGGTGTGCTGTTGTAGATTCAGATCTACGAATGAATTAGACTAGGTGGCAGGTCCGTGGACCTGCCACGAGATATTGAACTGTTGACTCCTTACTGCATCATCCTTTACAAGTCTTGTCATAATCTTCAAATTTTGAAACATATATTTCAAAATTTATCATATAGTGTTGGTGGGCCCTTGATCTCAATAGCAGAGTGAATGTAAAATGCTTGAGATTGATTTAGAACATGCAAAAACAGCGATATAAATAAGGGTACAAGGAATTCAAATCGAACTAGCTAGCCATGTACTCTACGGGGTACATTCCCTTATTCAAATTCATTCTTAACCGTGCGGCGCGTACAGTTACGAAAACTGTTCCCGCCAATTCCTCTTGCCTGCAGCTGTCCGATGCCGTCTGCTCCGACGGTCCAGATCCGCCCCAACCGTTCTGACGCTTCGAGTCAGTTCTGACTCCTCGTATTCGTTCTCGATACTGCATGCTTCCTTAGCTGCGGTTAGGAGTGCACAGTAATGTCTCAAACATTACCATTCGTACCAAATGTTTTCACCTATCAATTTGAGGAGCTTAGATGTGGAGAGATCAAGCATGTGAGCATCTACCCTGTTTGCACGGAGGTGGCACTGCGTGCATCTGTGTGTGTGTCCTCCACCTTCACATCAAAGGCCATTCCTGGTGGTGGGCTCTCATGGTCGCGCCGTGCAAGGAAGGTGCGGGCGGCGTTGTGCACCTGCCACAGGCTGCACTTCCACAGCGCAGCGCCCTTGCGGTCGCGCCAGATGGGCAGCCGCCCCAGCTCCGCCGCGCCCACTACGCCCGCCGCCACGCACGCCACGGCGCTGCGGTCTGGCTCGTAGTAGTCGGGCACCACCACGCACCCCACCGCCACATACCCCTCCGGCGCCCTCGGCGCCCAGATCGTCACCGGCGTGCGCGCCCCGCTGTCCGTGTCCCGCCATACCTGCCAGCGCGCACACGAGGAGGTGGGTGGGGAGGAAGGCGGGGGGGAACTTAAGTAACAGGGGAGGTGACGTGGCTGACCTTCTTCATAGCTGACGCAGGGGGTGGAGGCAGCATGAGGGGGGAAAGGGTTGAGGCAGAGAGCGAGCATCGCGCAGTGCAGCGAGCGGAGAGCGGGGAGCGGAGAGCGGGGAGCGGAGAGCGGAGAGATGGCTGACCAGATCGAAGCCGAGTGGCGGAGCGAACTTGCCAGCGCCGGAGTCGAGATAGATGGTGCTCCGCACCGGCTGGTCGTACCCCGGTGTTGCCACGTCCCCCACCGACACATACCTGCCGTGGCGCAGCAGGGGGGGGCATGGAGAAGCTCCAAGACGGACGGTTTAGGGCAGCACCACGCAATGTTGAGGGAGAGAGCAGAGGTAGCAAGAGGGAGGATGAACAAGGCAGGCAACATAGACACAACAAGTAACGAGGGAATCGAGGCTACTGTCAGAGAAGCTCAATTTTTCTCTGGCCGCTGCTGCTCTCACTCACCCCACCGTGCTGCTCGCACTCACCCCACCGTGCTGCTCGCACTCATCCCACCGTGCTGCTCGCACTCACCCCACCGTGCTGCTTGCACTCATCCCACCGTGCTGCTTGCACTCATCCCACCGTGCTGCTCGCACTCATCCCACCGTGCTGCTCGCACTCATCCCACCGTGCTGCTCGCACTCATCCCACCGTGCTGCTTGCACTCATCCCACCGTGCTGCTTGCACTCATCCCACCGTGCTGCTCGCACTCATCCCACCGTGCTGCTCGCACTCATCCCACCGTGCTGCTCGCACTCATCCCACCGTGCTGCTTGCACTCATCCCACCGTGCTGCTCGCACTCATCCCACCGTGCTGCTCGCACTCATCCCACCGTGCTGCTTGCACTCATCCCACCGTGCTGCTCGCACTCATCCCACCGTGCTGCTCGCACTCATCCCACCGTGCTGCTCGCACTCATCCCACCGTGCTGCTCGCACTCATCCCACCGTGCTGCTCGCACTCATCCCACCGTGCTGCTCGCACTCATCCCACCGTGCTGCTCGCACTCATCCCACCGTGCTGCTTGCACTCATCCCACCGTGCTGCTCGCACTCATCCCACCGTGCTGCTCGCACTCATCCCACCGTGCTGCTCGCACTCATCCCACCGTGCTGCTCGCACTCATCCCACCGTGCTGCTAGCACTCATCCCACCGTGCTGCTTGCACTCATCCCACCGTGCTGCTAGCACTCATCCCACCGTGCTGCTAGCACTCATCCCACCGTGCTGCTTGCACTCATCCCACCGTGCTGCTTGCACTCATCCCACCGTGCTGCTCGCACTCATCCCACCGTGCTGCTCGCACTCATCCCACCGTGCTGCTCGCACTCATCCCACCGTGCTGCTAGCACTCATCCCACCGTGCTGCTAGCACTCATCCCACCGTGCTGCTAGCACTCATCCCACCGTGCTGCTCGCACTCATCCCACCGTGCTGCTCGCACTCATCCCACCGTGCTGCTCGCACTCATCCCACCGTGCTGCTCGCACTCATCCCACCGTGCTGCTCGCACTCATCCCACCGTGCTGCTCGCACTCATCCCACCGTGCTGCTCGCACTCATCCCACCGTGCTGCTCGCACTCATCCCACCGTGCTGCTCGCACTCATCCCACCGTGCTGCTCGCACTCATCCCACCGTGCTGCTCGCACTCATCCCACCGTGCTGCTCGCACTCATCCCACCGTGCTGCTCGCACTCATCCCACCGTGCTGCTCGCACTCATCCCACCGTGCTGCTCGCACTCATCCCACCGTGCTGCTCGCACTCATCCCACCGTGCTGCTCGCACTCATCCCACCGTGCTGCTCGCACTCATCCCACCGTGCTGCTCGCACTCATCCCACCGTGCTGCTCGCACTCATCCCACCGTGCTGCTCGCACTCATCCCACCGTGCTGCTCGCACTCATCCCACCGTGCTGCTCGCACTCATCCCACCGTGCTGCTCGCACTCATCCCACCGTGCTGCTCGCACTCATCCCACCGTGCTGCTCGCACTCATCCCACCGTGCTGCTCGCACTCATCCCACCGTGCTGCTCGCACTCATCCCACCGTGCTGCTCGCACTCATCCCACCGTGCTGCTCGCACTCATCCCACCGTGCTGCTCGCACTCATCCCACCGTGCTGCTCGCACTCATCCCACCGTGCTGCTCGCACTCATCCCACCGTGCTGCTCGCACTCATCCCACCGTGCTGCTCGCACTCATCCCACCGTGCTGCTCGCACTCATCCCACCGTGCTGCTCGCACTCATCCCACCGTGCTGCTAGCACTCATCCCACCGTGCTGCTTGCACTCATCCCACCGTGCTGCTAGCACTCATCCCACCGTGCTGCTAGCACTCATCCCACCGTGCTGCTTGCACTCATCCCACCGTGCTGCTTGCACTCATCCCACCGTGCTGCTCGCACTCATCCCACCGTGCTGCTCGCACTCATCCCACCGTGCTGCTCGCACTCATCCCACCGTGCTGCTAGCACTCATCCCACCGTGCTGCTAGCACTCATCCCACCGTGCTGCTAGCACTCATCCCACCGTGCTGCTCGCACTCATCCCACCGTGCTGCTCGCACTCATCCCACCGTGCTGCTCGCACTCATCCCACCGTGCTGCTCGCACTCATCCCACCGTGCTGCTCGCACTCATCCCACCGTGCTGCTCGCACTCATCCCACCGTGCTGCTCGCACTCATCCCACCGTGCTGCTCGCACTCATCCCACCGTGCTGCTCGCACTCATCCCACCGTGCTGCTCGCACTCATCCCACCGTGCTGCTCGCACTCATCCCACCGTGCTGCTCGCACTCATCCCACCGTGCTGCTCGCACTCATCCCACCGTGCTGCTTGCACTCATCCCACCGTGCTGCTCGCACTCATCCCACCGTGCTGCTCGCACTCATCCCACCGTGCTGCTCGCACTCATCCCACCGTGCTGCTCGCACTCATCCCACCGTGCTGCTCGCACTCATCCCACCGTGCTGCTCGCACTCATCCCACCGTGCTGCTCGCACTCATCCCACCGTGCTGCTCGCACTCATCCCACCGTGCTGCTCGCACTCATCCCACCGTGCTGCTCGCACTCATCCCACCGTGCTGCTCGCACTCATCCCAGCATCCTGCTCTCACTGATCCCACCAGCCATGAGTGGTGCTCTCACTCACCCGGGGCGCAGGATGGGGCGCCAGATGGAGACGGGAAACTTCTGGCTCCACACCGCTCCCTGCACCATGGAGGAGAGGGTGGGGGGGCCGGGGGGGGGGGGGGGGGGCAACCACATCAGCGCAGACACATGCACGCACTGCTGCTTCCACGAGCTTGAATGTCTCTCACCTTGTCCCACCGCATCAGCTTGAATGCCTCTCACCTTGTCCCACCACATCAGCTTGAATGCCTTCACCACAACGGCAGGCGGCCCATTCACGTCCGCCCCTGCCACGTCCCCCGAGCTGCCTCTGCCCGTCATGGCACGCGGGCGAGCGGGGCCGGAGGCAGGAGCAGCGAGGGAGGGGCGGTGGCGGGAGGAGGGGGAGGCGAGGTCGCCGTGGCTGTCCGCCTCCAGCATCACCTGCCCCGCACCGCCCACCAGCGCTCCAAACGTGGCCATCACTGGCACCACCACCGGCGCCGCTGGCCCCGCCAGCAGCCCCAGCGCTGCCCCTGATGCCGCCCCCGCCCCTGCCCCCGTGTACGGCCGACTCTCCTGCCGCCGCTTGCGTGTCTGAGAGGGCGGGAAGAGGATGCGGGGGTGAGGAATTGAGAAGCTTACACACAGTTGACTGACTGGCTGTATAAGCTGGCACAGCAGTGGCACCTGAGCAGGCACAGCAGTGGCACCTGAGCAGCGACGGTGGCCCGATCGGGGCCGAACTGGTCGAGGGCGCGCTGGATGGCGTCTCGCACTTGCTGTGCCTGCTCGGTGGCTGCCTGGCACAGCACCACACGCGCGATCTCCTTGGCGTCCAGCAGCCGCACGTCCGCCGACCACTCCCGCAGGTGCAGCACCACCCGTGATGGCGGCGCGGAGGGCGGCTCATCGCGGCCGCGCATGACCTCCAGCGACAGCAGCTCGCCCCACGCCACCGCCCACACGATGCTGCACGCCTCCCGAGTCAGGTCCGGCTTGCGCCCCCCCACCAGCGCTCCCCCGCCCGGTTGCTGTGGCACGCGCACACGCGAGGGCAGGGATGGGTGCACAGCCCATGTTGGATCAGAGTTTCCAAGAAGCACTCAGCCATGTGATCCCTTGCCACTAAGACCTTTCGCACCATGTGCCCCTTCAAATCTCACATGCTTTAACCCCTTTGCCCCTTCAAATCTCACATGCTTTAACCCCTTTGCCGCTTCAAATCTCACATGCTTTATCCCTTTGCCCCTTCAAATCTCACATGCTTTAACCCCTTTGCCGCTTCAAATCTCACATGCTTTAACCCCTTTGCCCCTTCAAACCTCACATGCTTTAACCCCTTTGCCCCTTCAAATCTCACATGCTTTAACCCCTTTGCCCCTTCAAATCTCACATGCTTTAACCCCTCTGCCCCTTGTGCCTTATTGTTACAACCCTATTCGTGCACTCATAACAAACACCAGCTCCCTCCTCAAGCCATCTCGCCCCTCTCCCCCCCTTCTTCGCCCCTCTCCTTACGCACCTCGAGCAGCATGGTGCGCTGGTGGGTGATGATGAGGATGCGCCGCGCCGGCAGGTGGAAGTGGTCCTCATACGCGTCGCTCAGGGCGAACTTGCCCTTCTCACGGATGTCAAACACGCTCGCGCCCGTCAGCGCGCCCCACTCCGCCAGCTGCAGGATGGCCTGTCCCCTGGCCGCGTACTCATCATACGGCCGCACCACGTGGTCGCCGCGGATGGCACGCGGCAGGCGGCGGCGCCGCAGAGCGAGCTTGGTGGTCATGGCGGCGGAGAGGCGCGCGCGCTCCGCGTTGACGCCATCCGTGGTCTTGCTCACCAGGTCCAGCACGCCGCTCACCGGCTGCGCCGCCGCCCCGATCAGCCCGCGCCCCACGCCCGCCACAAAGCCCTCCACGCCGCCGTCCCTTGCGCCCTCCACGGGCTTGGTGAGGATGCCCGTGACCCCACGGAACAGCCCCTTGGCCAGCGCCTCCCCGCCCTCGCGCAGCCCGTCTCCCAGCGACCCCACGGCGGCCTTGGCGTCGTGCTTGTGGCGCGCGCGGATGAAGGCGCGGTCCATGCTCATCCCCGCCACCGCCTTGCTCACCTGCCCCACTACGCTGCTGGCGTTGCCCAGCACGTCCAGCCCCGACAGCAGGCGGAACGGCTGCGCCAGCAGGTCGTTGCTCACACTGCGCCACGCCTCCGCCCACACCTGGCTGCGCCGCAACACCACCCCCTCCCGCACACGGGGGGACAGGCGGATCTGGCCAGCACAAGGGGAGGGGGGGAGAGGAAAGGGGGATATGGGGCTGAGGTCCGCACAGAAGAGGATGAGTGAGACGAGAGAGCGCCCACTGAAGGAGATGACAAGCATGGCGAGGATAAGATGATGTGAGCATTGTAGCCATGCCATCTCACCTGCATGTCACTCCCACGCTCTCACTCACCGGCATCTCATCGGTGTTGCCCATGGAGGTGAGCACGGACGTCCAGAAGCCCATCATGTAACGCGGCCGGTGCAGCGGCGACATGGCCAGCGTCAGCTTCAGCCGCCCCTCCGAGATGTTCAGCAGCCTGCCCATGCCCACGCGAATGCATGCACGGACGAACGGGTGGGGTGGAGGTGCGCACTGCAGCAAGCATAATGGAAAACCAATCACAAGCAGGCTTCCAGTTGGAACACCATTCCTCACTGCCTGCTGCAAGCAGAATTGTTTCGGTAATTCGTCTTTCCAACCAGTGTTCCAGGCAGGTCATATCAACACGTGAGACGTGAATACCAATCACGTGCGCTGCTCTCACCAATCACGTGCGCTGCTCTCACCCGACGTGCGCTGCTCTCACCCGACGTGCGCTGCTCTCACCCGACGTGCGCTGCTCTCACCCGACGTGCGCTGCTCTCACCCGACGTGCACGCGTGGGTCGAGGGAGACGGAGGTGGGTTGCGGGGGGGCGTCGAGGCGGTGGGCGGAGAGGCGCTTCACCATGTCGGCCAGGCGCCAGATGATGGGCTCGTGGATGTTCACCAGCCATGCCGCACTCGGTAGCTGGCAGAGGGGGGGGGGGGGGAAGGGAGGGAGGTACCACATTCTTGGCTAATTTGGGGTTTCAACAGGCGAGAAGGGGGCAAGGGAGAGGGCAATGCGAGAGGTTAGGAAGAGAGTGCAGAGGATGATGGCATGGAGGCGCAGAGGATGATGGCATGGAGGCGTGCGGGGGTTGAGGCGGCAGTACCTGCAGGCCGATGTAAGGGAAGGACTGCTCATCCTCATCCCGTGCCCGGCGCATGGCCACAGTGATCTTCAGCACGTACGGCTGCACCACCCCAGGTGGATCCTCAGGTGCCAGCAACACGGGCATGGCCGTCACCGCCAGCTGGTTGTCAATCTGCAAGTGCCCCACCTGCAGCTTCACCCGGCTCACCCCACCCGACCCACTTCCCCCCGAGGTGCCTGGGCGCGCGGAGGAGGGGGTGGAGGAGTCGAGGGAGAGGAGGGCGCCGGTCATGGAGATGTAGAGCAGCTCCTCGGGGGTGGCGTCCACCACCGACACGCCACACTCCTCCACCTCCACCACCACCACCACCCGCCGCTCCCCTCCACCCCCCGCCCCCTCTGCTGTCGCCACTGCGCTGGACCCCTCGCTCCCCACCGTGAGGGCAGGAGGAGGGGCAGTGAGAAGGGAGGAGGGCGTGAGAGAGAGGGCGAGCTGGACGAGGGAGGGGTCGGAAGGGCGCCAGTCGTGCAGGCACACGCGCATCACACACCCCCCGCCCGACGGCGCGGGCTCCCTGGCGACAGTGACGAGCAGCGGCGCCACGGGGCGGCCGGAGGCGTTGGTGGCGGGCTCGAGCACAGCGGGGTCGTCGATGGCCACGCGGCGCGCCGTGGAGGAGTGCGCGCCGTCAACCATGAGCTCCAGCAGGCGCAGCCCGCGGCCGTCCTCCCACGCAAACGACTTGGCCGCCCCCACCGCCAGCGCCTCCCACGCCTCGTCCCCCGCCCCCGCCTGCCGGTACCGCACTGGAAACAGCTGCGACCGGTTCTCTATCCTGAGAGGGGCACGGGAGGCGGGCGGGCGAGACAGGGTTGCGGATTGACATGGAAAGAGGAGCTGGGCGATGATTGACATGGAAAGAGGAGCTGGGCGATGATTGACATGGAAAGAGGAGCTGGGCGATGATTGACATGGAAAGAGGAGCTGGGCGATGATTGACATGGAAAGAGGAGCTGGGCGGGGAAGGAACGGCAGCCATGATTGATAGCATAGGTGATAGCAGCATCAATAATAAACTTCAAGCGATTGAGCGAATCTAAAGCAGGGCCACACTTGATTGTACACCGGAAGTTAAAGTGAGATGGTATGTAGGGTCCATGAAAAGGAGGAGACTGACTTGTAGGGGCCATAAGGGGGAGACTGACTTGTAGGGGCCATAAGGGGGAGACTGACTTGTAGGGGCCATAAGGGGGAGACTGACTTGTAGGGGCCATAAGGGGGAGACTGACTTGTAGGGGCCATAAGGGGGAGACTGACTTGTAGGGGCCATAAGGGGGAGACTGACTTGTAGGGGCCATAAGGGGGAGACTGACTTGTAGGGGCCATAAGGGGGAGACTGACTTGTAGGGGCCATAAGGGGGAGACTGACTTGTAGGGGCCATAAGGGGGAGACTGACTTGTAGGGGCCATAAGGGGGAGACTGACTTGTAGGGGCCATAGGGCGGAGCGAGTGTGAAGGCGACATGGTAGCGGCATGCACTGGCACCATCCACCACATCCGCCAGCAGCAGCTCCCGCCCCCGCCGCCCACTGCCGTCCCACGCTGCCCGCCCTATGGAGGGTGGGCGGTTGGGTTGCACGACGTGGCGCATGACAACGAAGACACTGCCATCGCCGTCGATGGAGAATGGGCGGCTCCAATCACAGCCGTCGATGCGCACCTGAGAGTGGGAGCGGGACACAAGGAGGGAGATGGATGAGGGCGGAGAAGTGAGCAAGAGGCGGCAGGCAGAGGAGGAGGAATGTGGGCACATGAGAAATGGAATCCGGGACCCATGATGCACAAACATCATATGCACAAACACTTTGTCTACGCAGCACACAGCTGCCTACGTGGCACCCAGCTGCCTACATGGCACCCACCTGCTTAGGTGGCACCCACCTGCTTAGGTGGCACCCACCTGCTTAGGTGGCACCCACCTGTCAGCATCTTCATTGTAACCTGCATCATCATATAAGCTTTGGTTAGAGATAGGCACCCAAACTTAGTTTGGGTGCACAACTAGGGTTTACCCTAGTTTGAGGTTGGAACCCAACCTTGGCCCAATTATTGGGCCCCCAAGGTTGGGTTGGGAGATTTTTGGACCCCCAAATAATGTTGACCCACTTTTGGTCAACATTATTCGTCCTCCCAATGATTCCTCAACCCAACTTATTGGTGGGGGCCAATAATGTTGGCATGGCTCCTACATCCTAGCTCAACTATGTAAACCCATGCCCTTCCTAACGCAACTATCGGTTCTTCTTCAAATTTTCTCACACCACCTGCCCCGTGGCACCCACCTGCAAGTGTTCGGCCAGCCAGATGGACTCCCACACGATGGGCTTCATCGAATCAGCAGGTGCCAGGTGTCGGACGATGTTGCCGCCCGCCTGCCTGATGTGTAGCGGCCGCCCCGTGTGGTTGGAGAACACCGTATGTGGCTGCAGTCGGATCACCTGCCAGCCAACACACACACAGGCACACACGCATGGGGGTGCACAGGATGCACACACGCATGGGGGTGCACAGGATGCACACGGTGCGGTGCTGATTGGTTGGAGTGTGAGAGCAAGTGCGCTGAGTGGAGAGGAGGAGGAGAGTGCAGCAGGAGGAGAGTGCAGCAGGTGGAGAGTGCAGCAGGAGGAGAGTGCAGCAGGTGGAGAGTGCAGCAGGAGGAGAGTGCAGCAGGTGGAGAGTGCAGCAGGAGGAGAGTGCAGCAGGTGGAGAGGCATGCAGAGAGGCATACAGAGAGGCATGCAGAGAGGCATGCAGAGAGGCATACAGAGAGGCATGCAGAGAGGCATGCAGAGAGGCATACAGAGAGGCATGCAGAGAGGCATACAGAGAGGCATGCAGAGAGGCATGCAGAGAGGCATACAGAGAGGCATGCAGAGAGGCATACAGAGAGGCATGCAGAGAGGCATGCAGAGAGGCATGCAGAGAGGCATACAGAGAGGCATGCAGAGAGGCATGCAGAGAGGCATGTGGTGCATGTGAAGAGGGTGGGGGTAGAGGGATGGAGGGGCGGTACCTTGGTGCCTTCATAGCGCAGCGAGGACATGTCGAGGGACAGCGAGAGGCGCAGATAGCTGCCTGCCGCATCCACCGCCTTGAGGTCCGCCCGCTCCATCTGCACCCCCCCATGAGGGACACGCATGGCGCAGGGACGAGCGAGGGGTGGAGAGAGTTGGGCAGATGAAAACAAGAAACGAGTGGAGGGAGGGGGGAGTAAGCACATATGGTGTTTAGAGGGAAGTGTAATAGGGCGTTGCCATGCTGGCACCACTTGGGCAAGAACAGCTGCAGAGCATCCACCACTTGTCAGAATAGTCTTTTGTGTGAGATGGGAGAGGGAGCGGGCACCTTGTCCTGGAAGGCGGTGAGGGTGAGGGCACCTTGTCCTGGAAGGCGGTGAGGGTGAGGGCACCTTGTCCTGGAAGGCGGTGAGGGGGATGGCGGAGCTGAAGACGCCGTTCTTGGAGAGCGCCACGGCCAGCCCCACGTTGGCCACCGACGGCAGCGACAGCATCACCGCCTGCTGCTGCGGCGCCTCCTCGATGTCCTCCAGGCTGCGCACCACCTTGCTCGCCCCCGCCACCACTCCTGCCGGTGCCGCCGCCACCGGCTCACGGGTGGAGCCGGCGAGGCTGAGCGCGCGCGAGGAGAGCGGGCGCGTGGGCATCTGCCACAGCGACTCCGCTGCCGCCGCCGCTGCTGCCGTGGCGCCCGGGGGGGGCTCGATCTCAACGATGCGGCAGGCGAGGGGCATGGAGGAGTGGTTGGCGAGCCAGAAGGGCACAAACACCCTCACCACCCGCGCTGATGCCTCTGATGCCCCGCCACTCACCTCCAGATTCACATGCAGCCGCCTGCAGGGGAGGGGGGACGAGCACAAGTGCAATGAAAGGGTGAATGCAGCAGTGAGACAGAGATGACACAGAGATGACACGGAAATGACACGGAGATGACACGGAGATGACACGGAGATGACAGGTGTAGTGAATGAGCCAGCTGCAAGGGTGCAACGCACGAAGGACACACACTCTCCCACTGCCTCGCCAGCAAACCTCACGTACCCCCTTCCCATTACTTGCTCTGCCTGCTCCCCTCTCATTACTTGCTCTCCACACTCTCCCCCGCTCACCGCTTGTTCTGCACGTTGGTCATCCAGAAGCCCCCCGCCACCTCGTGGGTGAGCGGGTCCGACAGCAGCACCGCGTCCTGTGCTCTCACACAAGGGGGGAAACATGTGCAACGCATGTGGGGCACATTCACGCGCCAGTGTGGTGTGGTGTGGGCAGAGTGCAACGCAAAGAGCACACAGGGAAGGGCGCAACAAGGCACGTGGACTAAGGCACATAAAGGCAAAACCAATGGGCACACAACAGCCCGCAGCAGCAGGGGCTGCGGCGCTGCACGGACCTTCTCCTGCTTCCACCCGCCCTGAGGCAGCCAGGTGAGCAGCATGGGGCAGCGGATGTCGATGGTGTATGCATGCACCGCCTCGCCCGCCCCCACCACGCCGTGCTGCCGCGCCACCGACCGTGATGCCCCCCCCACGCCCGCCGTGCTGCCCGCTGCGTGGGTTGCGCCGGTGCTGGGCTTCTCCCACACCAAGTACTCCGCGCTGCACGGCAGCCGGTTCTCCAGCTGCACTGGCGCCCGCAGCGTCACCCGCCAGTCCACCACCCCCGCCGCCCCCATGCCCTCGCCGCCCTGCAGCTTCACGCCGTCCGCCTCCAGGCAGAACCACCAGCACCCGCGCATGCCGCGGCACTGCAGCAGCTCCTCGCGCTTGCCGCCCTTCTCCCACGACGCCGCCCTCATCAGGTCCGGCAGCACAAACGCCGTCGCCAGCTGCTGCCGCCTCGCCGCCTCTGCCCTGCTCGCCGCTCCTGCACTCCCCTCCCCACCATTGTTGCCCCATGCCCCAGGCACCAGCCGGCTCCACCCATACCTCTCACTCCCTTTGCTGCTACCTGCCGAACCTGCAGCAGCCTGGGGCCGAACCTGCAGGCACCAGTCAGAGCCAGGGGAGAGGCAGCCCCAGGGCAGCGACAGGGAGTCACCGGGAGGCAGCGTCCCCAGCGCCGTGCGCACGTGCTCCTTGGGTGCGCCCGACGGTCGTGGCAGGCGGCGCCGTGTGCGCGTGAAGCGGCGGCGGCGCACAAAGTCAAAGGGGCCCTTGCTCCGCGCCACGTTGGCCAGCGCGTCGGGCGACGCCAGCGAGCGGAAGTCCGGCGCGTACACCCACCCCTCCATGTCGCCCGGTGCTGCCTGGTCACGCTGCCATGCACCCACCCACGCCCACCCACGTGGACACGCCTCTGGCAGGTCCTGGCATGCATGGGAGAGGTCCAGTGCAGAAAAGCGTGCGGGGTCGCCAGGCATGAGGTGGCCGGGCCACAGTGAGCCCCACCCCAGCATGGGCTGGTACCGCTGGTTCTCATACATCTCCTCCTCCACCTCCTCCTCCGCGTCCTCGTCTGCAAAGTCCAGCAGCACGAACGGGCACACACACACGTCCACCGGCACGTCCGTGGCGTTGCGCAGCAGCACGAGCGAGCGCAGCGTGACGCACTTGAGGCCCCCCCGCACGCCCAGCTCCGCCGCCACTGGCCGCCCCTCGAGGGCGAGCGCGAGCGTCATGATGCCCGCCATGGACCGAACCCAACACCACTCGCCGTCCGGGCGGCATGCCAGCTGGATCAAACAGTCCGGCTGCTCCTGCCCCGCCTCCACTACCGCCCGCTCTTGCTGCTGCTGGTGGGCCAGCAGATGGCCGCTGGGGCCCACTGTGAAGAACACCGCTGCAATGCGCAGGCGAGGAGAGGCCTGTGTGTGCATGGGCAGGTGGCAGGGTGATGGCACGTGGGGAAGGGAACGGTTAGTGAGCACAAGTTAGATGCCAGTCCAATGTGCACCAATCTCGCATTCCTCACGTCCTACCTGCTGCTGTTGCTGCTGCTGTTGCTGCTGCTGCTGCTGCTGCTGCTTCCTCTTGGGCGGGTGCAGCACCAGGGTGTGCTGCGTGGCTTGAGAGGCGGGGTGGAGGCCGCCGATGCCGAGGGCGTCGGTGACGGCAGCCCAGTCGGAGAGGGTGGGCGCGGCAGCAGCAGTCATGGGCACAGCCGCTGTGCCCACCGTGGCCCCTCTCCCCGCGTTGGCCGCCTGGTTGCTCACCACCACCTCCAGCCGCGACTCCTTCTGCTCTCCCACACACCCCACACCACGCCAGGCCATGCCATCCATGCCATGCCATGCCATGCCCCGCACCACAGGGGGGAGGAACGGCAGCAAAAACGGCACACAGAAGCATGCAGGGAGACATGAGCGCACAGCAGCATGCAGGGAGACATGAGCGCACAGCAGCATGCAGGGAGACATGAGCGCACAGCAGCATGCAGGGAGACATGAGCGCACAGCAGCATGCAGGGAGACATGAGCGCACAGCAGCATGCAGGGAGACATGAGCGCACAGCAGCATGCAGGGAGACATGAGCGCACAGCAGCATGCAGGGAGACATGAGCGCACAGCAGCATGCAGGGAGACATGAGCGCACAGCAGCATGCAGGGAGACATGAGCGCACAGCAGCATGCAGGGAGACATGAGCGCACAGCAGCATGCAGGGAGACATGAGCGCACAGCAGCATGCAGGGAGACATGAGCGCACAGCAGCATGCAGGGAGACATGAGCGCACAGCAGCATGCAGGGAGACATGAGCGCACAGCAGCATGCAGGGAGACATGAGCGCACAGCAGCATGCAGGGAGACATGAGCGCACAGCAGCATGCAGGGAGACATGAGCGCACAGCAGCATGCAGGGAGACATGAGCGCACAGCAGCATGCAGGCAGGTGGGCAGGAGAGGGGAGGCCCAGCATGCACGTGTGCACGAGCATATGCAAATATATGCTAGAGGATACATGCACACAGAAAGTTACATAGTAATTATATGCGTGTGTACAGTGGTGCGCATGAGTACAGTGAAGTGTGTGTGTACAGTGATGCACATGCAAGCAGAGACACATACCTGTGCCGGCACTTCAAACACAAACACCTCGTTCCACTGCACGCGCCACAGCTTCGCTCTCCTGCCCTCGGTCCCTTCTCCCGCTCCGGCCTGCGCCCCTCCAAGCGGCATGGCGCTCCCCATGCCCTCGCGCCCATGCGGGCATGCCAGCCCCCCTGCGGGGCGGATGGCGCGCGAGCGTGCAGTCTGCGGCAGCTGCTGCCCCTTGGCCAGCGGCTGGGCGCCCGCCTCTGCCACTCGCAGCTTGCAGATGAAGTCCTCCCCGTTCAGCTCGCTCCCCGGTAGGTCCTGCAGCGATCCACGCAGGCATGGGCATGTGGGAAGACGGCACGAGGAGATGGCAGGTGTGCACGGTGGGGGATGACTTGAGCAAGCAAGGACCAAGGGGGAAGGACTGTGGGGAGTGGGTCCAATGAGCAGCCCACCACCGGGCAAACATACACGCACTGCCGCTTCACCATGCCCACCATGCCGCCTCACCAGCCCCGCCGTACTCACCAGCCCCTCAATGAGGCGCAGAGCCATGAAGCGCCGTGTGCTACGCCGGCGCTTGCCGCCCACACCCGCAGTGGCGGAGGGGCGCAGCATGTCGGGGAACTGGAAGGGCGGCAGCGGCACGGACGACGTGTGGGCGGGCGGCAGTGTGTAGAGATGGGCGAAGGCATCCTTGGCGGAGCGAGCGTAGAGAGGCGCTCCCAGGCGGTTGTCCACGAGCACTCGTAGCGCGTCCTCCCTGTCCACTGCCACTCCCCCCTCCTCCCCTCCCTCCTCCATTCCCTCCCCAACGCTCGCTGCTGCCGCTGCTGCTGCTGATGACCATGGGGCTGGTGATGCCCCCTGAGACGAAGATGAGGAGGGACGAGAGGTGGGGAAGGAAGATATTCAGGGTGTAATCAATGCAAATAACCTAATCGTCGTATCCATGCAGACAGCCGCATGAACACATGGCTGCACAAACGACTGCATGCACACCCACGGCTGAATGCACAGAGCACAGCCCCAGGCGTGCCTGACCTGCAGCAGGGCGCGCCTGGCATCAGCCTCGTGCTGCACCAGCTTGCTCCACCCGTGGGTGGCGGCAGTGAGGGCGTCCACACTGGTGGCCGTGACGTTGACGTTCACCACACTCGTCGCCGTCACCCGCATCTGCACACTGCCCGCTGCTGCCCCCTCCTCGCTGCCCTCGCCCTCCCACTCGTATCTGTGGGGCGGGGTACGCAGCAAATGGCACTCAGCTTGGCAGGCACGCAGCACATGGCAGTCAGCTTGGCAGGCACGCAGCACATGGCACTCAGCTTGGCAGGCACGCAGCACATGGCACTCAGCTTGGCAGGCACGCAGCACATGGCAGTCAGCTTGGCAGGCACGCAGCACATGGCAGTCAGCTTGGCAGGCACGCAGCACATGGCACTCAGCTTGGCAGGCACGCAGCACATGGCACTCAGCTTGGCAGGCACGCAGCACATGGCACTCAGCTTGGCAGGCACGCAGCACATGGCACTCAGCTTGGCAGGCACGCAGCACATGGCAGTCAGCTTGGCAGGCACGCAGCACATGGCACTCAGCTTGGCAGGCACGCAGCACATGGCACTCAGCTTGGCAGGCACGCAGCACATGGCACTCAGCTTGGCAGGCACGCAGCACATGGCACTCAGCTTGGCAGGCACGCAGCACATGGCAGTCAGCTTGGCAGGCACGCAGCATGCGGGGGCTCAAACGCATGCGGGGGGCAAATGAGGCGTGGCAAACAAGGGGCGGCAAGAATGGCAATGCAAGACGAGGGGCAGCAAAAAAGAGTGGTGCAAGTTGAGCAGTGGAAGGAGGGGGGATGGCAGAGGGAGGGTGGGGAGGGGGGGCACTTGAAGATGGAGTCGAAGGGTTCGAGCAGCGGCTCCCAAAGGGCCAGGTGCGAGTTGAAGGACGAGGCCGCCACCGAAGTGAGCACCACTGCGTTGAGTGCGTGTGGACGGCCGTGCAGCGTGAGGTGTATGCCCTCCACTGTGAGGTCCACCCACGGCACCATCTGTCACCCCCCCATGCCCCGCCGCGCACCATGCATGCACAGCCGCCATGGCAGGGGGGACAGCACATGTTGGGAGGAGCACAAGCACACATGGAAATCATGCATTTCAGAGCGACACGTGGTGGCATGCAGTTGTCGTGTGAAATTCCCAGCAGGAATATGGAGGAGAGAAGGCAAGGATCGTGCGAGGCAACGAGGGGCAGGCAGGGGCAGGGGAGGGAGAGGAGGCACCGAGGGCAGAGGGGTACAGAGTGGGGAAGGGGGACAGTGGAAGGGAAGGGGGACAGAGGAAGGGAAGGGGGACAGAGGGAGGCAAGGGGGTCAGAGGGGGCCAGAGGGGGGCAGGGGGGGGCAGGGGGGGGGCCAGGGGGGGGCAGGGGGGGCAGAGGGGGGCAGAGGGGGCCAGAGGGGGGCAGAGGGGGCCAGAGGGGAGCAAGGGGGGCAGAGGGATCAGGGAAGGCCAAAGGGGGGCAGGGAGGGGCAGGGACGGTGAGGGAGGGCCAAGGTGGGCAGGGGAGATGAGAGGGGTTGAGGGAGATGAGAGGGGGTTGAGGGAGATGAGAGGGGTTGAGGGAGATGAGAGGAGTTGAGGGAGATGAGGGGGGTTGAGGGAGATGAGGGGGGTTGAGGGAGATGAGGGGGGTTGAGGGAGATGAGGGGGGTTGAGGGAGATGAGGGGGGTTGAGGGAGATGAGGGGGGTTGAGGGAGATGAGGGGGGTTGAGGGAGATGAGGGGGGTTGAGGGAGATGAGGGGGGTTGAGGGAGATGAGGGGGGTTGAGGGAGATGAGGGGGGTTGAGGGAGATGAGGGGGGTTGAGGGAGATGAGGGGGGGTGAGGGAGATGAGGGGGGGTGAGGGAGATGAGGGGGGTTGAGGGAGATGAGGGGGGTTGAGGGAGATGAGGGGGGTTGAGGGAGATGAGGGGGGTTGAGGGAGATGAGGGGGGGTGAGGGAGATGAGGGGGGTTGAGGGAGATGAGGGGGGTTGAGGGAGATGAGGGGGGTTGAGGGGGGTTGAGGGAGATGAGGGGGGTTGAGGGAGATGAGGGGGGTTGAGGGAGATGAGAGGGGTTGAGGGAGATGAGAGGGGTTGAGGGAGATGAGGGGGGTTGAGGGAGATGAGGGGGGTTGAGGGAGATGAGGGGGGTTGAGGGAGATGAGGGGGGTTGAGGGAGATGAGAGGGGTTGAGGGAGATGAGGGGGGTTGAGGGAGATGAGGGGGGTTGAGGGAGATGAGGGGGGTTGAGGGAGATGAGGGGGGTTGAGGGAGATGAGAGGGGTTGAGGGAGATGAGAGGGGTTGAGGGAGATGAGGGGGGTTGAGGGAGATGAGGGGGGTTGAGGGAGATGAGAGGGGTTGAGGGAGATGAGGGGGGTTGAGGGAGATGAGGGGGGTTGAGGGAGATGAGGGGGTTGAGGGAGCAGCAGAGAGGGGCTCACGACGCCGGAGACGTCGTCGAAGAGGGTGAGGGAGACGCGGGGCGTGCGCAGGTTGGCATCAAAGTTGTCGGGCCGCTCCCGCCTCTCCAGTTCCGCCAGCCCATACCCCATCCTCTGCGGCGGGCGCCGCGCATCACTGTGCACCAGAAACGTGCCCGCCTGCCACCCAGGAGTTAGGGTTCAGGGCAGGTGGGTGTGGGGGACATAGAGGGGGATGGAGGCGTCATAGTAAGACATGGAGCACTGCATTGTGGGGGGGAAACGGCACTCATGACTCATGAACGCACTCTCACAGTAACGTTTACCCACGCACTCTCACAGCAACGTTTACCCACGCACTCTCACAGCAACGTTTACCCACGCACTCTCACAGCAACGTTTACCCACCCATTCTCTGCACCCCACCTGGTTCATGACGGGCCAGAAGCTGGCAACAGACTCCCCTTTGGGCGGCAAACTGACGGTCCACGCGGGCCGGCCGGCAAAGCCCTTGGGCGCCAGCAGGTCAGCGCGCACACAGCGCACGGCCAGCCCAGCAGAGGGGGCCTCACGGCCGCGCGTCACCACACACCCCAGCGCCACGTAGCCAGGCGGCGCCAAGGGAAACCACACCGAGGCCTCGTCGGGCCAGGCGGGTGCCGCGAGTGTGAGCTTGTGCAGGAAGCTGCGGGGCGCCGCCACGCGCCCCGATTCAAGGTCGTCCAGCAGCAGCAAGCCTGTGTCCGGTGGATCGAAGCTGCAAGGGGGAAGAGGGTGGGGCGAGGGCAGTGCACGCTCGGAATGAGTCCACATGGACATCACGTCACGGTGCACAGCCATGCAGCATGGGAGTGTGGCGTGCAGTGCAGGCATGGTAATGAAGGCAAAGACCCGTGTGTGCTGCTGCCTCACCCGTCCGCCACACAGTCACCCAGCATGGCATAGCCCGGCACTGCCGCGGCCCGCCAGAAGCTCACGTGGCTTGTCATGCCCGCCGCGCCCTTGCTCCACCACACACGCTCAAAGCTCGCCGCCGGCACAAACGGCCGCGCCGCCGCCGCCCCGCTGCACCAGCCAGCGCGGAGGCGGAGGCAGCGAGGGGCGGTTGGAAGCGCGAGGAGGGCAGGCGGGCGAGGGAGTGTGCGCGGGCGGAGGGCACGCGGGTGAGCGTCGTGGACGTGGGGGAGTGCGAGGCGGCCTCAGGGTCGGCATCGTCGGGGTCGGGTGCGGTGGTGGCGGGGTGGAAGCGCAGATCTTCCCGCAGGTCCCTCAGCACTGCGGGTGGTGGCGGGGCCGTGCCCTGGCAGGCGAAGAAGGTGCGCATGGAGTTGCCCACCACCCACATGCTCGCCCCTCCCCCCCTGCCGCCACTCCTCTCCGTGCCACCTGCACCCGGCTCACTTGTGGGCGACACGGCACCAGGGCTGGTAGGCGTGTGATGGGGAAGCAAGGAGCAGGGCATGGGATGAGAATAGTGGTAGAGATGAGCATGAGGGGATGGAGTTTCCTAGCTCGCAAGAAGGGAAGCGGAGAGAACAGGGGGGGCAGAAAAGAAGGCGGAAGCGGAGCAGAATGATGCAGTAGGTACATGAGCATGGTGGCATGGAAGCAGCAATGGCAAGGCAGGGCGCACCGGTAGAAGATGCAGTCGACTCTGAGAGAGGAGGGAGTGAGCAGGTCGCAGCGCACACAGTGCACCGTCGACACGTGTGGCGGCGCTCGGCCCACAGCCGCCACGCATCCCAGCGCTGCATAGCCGGGCGGCGCCAGTGGCAGCCAGATGCGGCAGTGCGTGTCGTCCCCTCCCTCCCCGCCCTGTGCTGGGGCGGCAGCGGGTGCGTGGGAGCACCAGAGCAGGGAGAAGCCGAGGGGCCGCTTGACTCGTCTGAACGCCGTGCTCACCGCCAGCACCGCGTGCTCTGGCGGCGCCGCCCTGCCGTGCGCCGCACACACACACGTAGGGGGTGGTGTTGGGTGGGGTGCGTGCAAATACAAGAGAAGAGTTGAGGAGGTGAAGAAGGAAAAAGAAGATGGCAGGGCAGCATGGAGACAAGGTGCAGCATGAAGACAAGGTGCAGCATGAAGACAAGGTGCAGAGGGAGGACGGTAACAAGCAGTGCAGGAGAGGGCAGCACGCAGTGGTGACCAAATAATTATCAACTGAGGAAAATTCAGATCAGCTATATTAGAGTCACTTTGAGAACTTCAAGAAAAAAGGTCTCACCCCACGGTGGCGCAGTCGCCCAGGATGGCATAGCCTGCAGGCGCACACGGCCGCCACAGCGTGATGGGCTGCTCGCCCTCCCCTCCTGCCCTTCCCTCGTCTGAGTCCGTGCCTGTCAGCACGGGAGGTGGATGAGGAGAGGCGAAGAGCAGGTTGACCGTGAGGGTGAGACGAGGAGGAGGGCAAGCGTGGTCAGAGCACAGCAAAGGGGGGCAAAGCCATGCCTGCTCCTGACGAGAGCACCGCACCGGAGAGAGACACGGCAATTGAGCTCTTTCCAACTACCGAGAGTGGAGGCACCCACCAGAGTTCCAGATTCGGTCAAACTGCCGGCATCGCACCGCCACGGGCCCGCCGCCCAGCTTGAGGGCGGCAGCGACGTCGGCGTGCAGGCGGTGCAGCAGGCGCAGTGTGTGGAAGGGCAGGCGCAGCGACACATCGGTGCAGGCGAGCTCGAGGGACGTCTTGCCGGCCACACACTCGCGCTCGCAGTGGGCGTCCACCGGCTCCACCACCGCCAGGCCTGCCGCCGTCTCCACCAGCAACCCCCGCACCGTCCCCTTCACCCACGTGTCCGCGCCCTTGGCTGCGTACCTGCCCATGCAGAGAGGAGCGGGAGGGGGGTGGGGAAGTGAGGTGAGGCGAGTTGCCCCACAGCGGCAGCGGCCGATGCTACTGCTGCTGCTGCCGCTGTCCAGCCCTCCTCACACACTAGCCCAGCAAACCTCACAACAGGCTGATATGAGCATCCCTGTGAGCAGCCCTGAGAGCAGCACTCACAGCAAGCTGTCGTCACTCACAGCAGGCTGACGTCACTCACAGCAGGCTGACGTCACTCACGGCAGGCTGACGTCACTAACAGAAGGCTGACGTCACTCACAGCAGGCTGACGTCACTCACAGCAGGCTGACGTCACTCACGGCAGGCTGACGTCACTAACAGAAGGCTGACGTCACTCACAGCAGGCTGACGTCACTCACAGCAGGCTGACGACACTCACAGCATGCTGACGTCACTCACAGCATGCTGACGTCACTCACAGCATGCTGACGTCACTCACAGCAGGCTGACGTCACTCACAGCAGGCTGACGTCACTCACAGCAGGCTGACGTCACTCACGGCAGGCTGACATCACTAACAGAAGGCTGACGTCACTCACAGCAGGCTGACGGCACTCACAGCAGGCTGACGTCACTCACAGCAGGCTGACGTCACTCACAGCAGGCTGACGTCACTCATAGCAGGCTGACGTCACTCACAGCAGGCTGACGTCAAAGGAGGCGCGCAGAATCCTCTCGGGGCGGAAGGGGATGCCCGCAGGCCACTTGGTGCTGTCGTAGAACGTCAGCTCCGGCCCCACCGCCTGGTGCCAAGGGGGGGAGGGAGGGGGAGAGGTTGGGGAGGGGATTCGAACAAAAGGGGCATACTTGATAGTGGGGATGAGCGGAGGCATGAGGGTGTAAAGAGGTAACACCCACACCTGAAGGTACAGCCCACCCACCTGAAGGTCAAAAGAGAAGGAGGTCTGCTCCGGAGGCACCTCTGCCTCCCCACCCGCCCCTGCACCTCCTGCATCGGCCCCGCTGCCCTCTCTGCTGCCCGCGCCCCCAGCAGCGTTGGGGCCAGGGGCGAGGGGGGTATGACGCCAGATAACACCGTCCTCAGGGTCGGCAGTGAAGCTGCTGTCACACCCCAGGTACACACTCTGCTCCCACGCCCACGCACTCTGTGCTCATACGGTGTGCGAGGGCAGGGGAGGAGGGGAGGAGAGGGTGGAGAGATTTTGGGCGAGAAAGCCGCACAACGTTATGAGGAAACGAATGCGGTGTGGGCGTCCGTGACCTGGGATGGCGGAGCATGAGGTGGGCATGCAGTGAGGTGAGGCAGGGAGGGTGGGGCGCACCTCCACAGTGATGTTCTTCAGCCGCAGGTGCTTCCCATTGCCCACCACTATCACCGGCCCCCCCGCCACGCCCTCGCCCTGCTGCTTGCCCGCCGGCACGGCTGTGCCCCCCTGGGTGTCGGAGGGCAGGAGGCGCAGCACCCCCCCACAGCCGTCGTACTCGTACTCATCCACCCCCGCCGCCTCCGCTATCAGCTGCCGCTGCGGCCACACCGTCACCACCGCCTCCGCCTGTCGCGTCGTGCCACTTGTCAGCACCACAGCATGAGCCAGGCTGGCGGGGTCGTCGCGCTCGTCCCTATCAGTATCGTGGCCGGAGGAGGGGGCGAGGGAGGGGAAGAAGAAGTGTGTGACGGCGAGCAGGAAGTCGAGGGCCACCAGCACGCGCGGGCGCTGGAAGCGCAGCACCACAGCGCGCGCAGCGGGGCGAGTCGAGTAGTTCAGCACCACCATGCTCAGCGCCACCGGCGGTGAACCTCCCCCTATCTCGCCCTCTCTGCCCTGATCTGCCGCCGTCCCCGCCTTGGCCCCTGCCGGCACTGCGCCGTGCCCCGAGTGGGTGGGCGGCGCATGGGAGTGGGCGGGCGGCGCATGGGAGTGGGCGGGCGGCGCATGGGAGTGGGCGGGCGGCGCATGGAAGTGGGCGGGCGGCGCATGGGAGTGGGCGGGCGGCGCATGGGAGTGGGCGTGCAGCGCGGAGCCCATCATGAGGCGCAGCTCCTGGCGCGTGGCGGGGCGGCGGTCGATGATGGCCATGGTGGGCAGAGAGAGCATCACCTCCATCTCCCTCGCACTGCTCGTGCGGTACTCCACCCATAGGCCCTCGATCTGAGCACAGGTGTGTGGGGGGGAGGGGAGAAGAGGCAGAGGAGTATCCAATCCATGACGCACAGCATGTGACAACCTGCAGTGACTGACCTGCAGCAGAGCGAGGCAGTGACTGACCTGCAGCAGAGCGAGGCAGTGACTGACCTGCAGCAGAGCGAGGCAGTGACTGACCTGCAGCAGGGCGAGGGAGGAGTCGCGGGTGTGGCCGGTGAAGAGCTCCATCTGCACGTGCTGCACGTCCACCAGCACTCGGAAGTACGTGAACGCCGGGGCCCCCCCTCCTGCCCCTCCCGCCCCTCCTTGCTTCGCCACCTCGCCCGCTCTCCCCTGCCCGCCTTCCCCTTGTGCCCCCTGCGCCCCCTTGCCCTCGCCCCCCTGCCCCCCAGCCATGGCCACAACGGGGGGTGGCGAGGATGGCGGCGTGGGCGAGCGCGGGGACGATGGCGAGGTGGGGCTCGTGACTTGGGCCGAAGGGGGAGGTTGGGAGGGCTGGGCGGACGAGGAGGAGGTGGAGGAGGGAGGGGGGAGGCGGAAGTAGGGTGGGGGCTGAGGGGGTTCGGCGAGGTTGGCGAAGAGGCAGTCGCAGATGATGAGGTACTCGCGGTGGCTCATCACCACGCGCAGCTCGCCCATCTGCTCCCATGCACGTGCGGGGAAGAGGGGGAGAAACGGGGTGGTGGAAGGGTGCAGGTGCGTACAACAACCAATGGAGAGCTTGGAGATGCATGAAGCAAGGAAGGCAGAACGGCAGCATGGCAAGCAGTGCATGTGTGATGGTGGAAAGGCAGAAGGGCAGCATGGCAAGCAGTGCATGTGTGATGGTGGAAGTGGAAGGTGGGGAGCATACGTGGATGTGGAACTGGTAGGTGGGCAGCTTCTTGAAGAGGTCTCTGAGCTGACGCTGGATGGTGAGTGTGAGCCCCGCCATGCGCTCTATCATTGGCGGCCCCGCCACGCCCTCCGCTCCCACCAGCAGACTCACATCACGACTCTGATGCACAGGGGAGGCCGACGAGGGCATGGGGCATGGGGCATGGGGCATGGGGCGTGAGGATGGAAAGAATGACGGTGATGGATTGGAGGAGCATGAAAGCAAACCACGAGATCACGCAATGGAGGAGATCAAGCACTCTAAATACATCTCACCTCCACTGTAATCACATCTCACCTCCATTGTAATCACATCTCACCTCCACTGTAATCACATCTCACCTCCACTGTAATCACATCTCACCTCCACTGTAATCACATCTCACCTCCACTGTAATCACATCTCACCTCCACTGTAATCACATCTCACCTCCACTGTAATCACATCGCAGCGCACAGCGCCGGCATCGTCAATGGACTTGCCACCACGCCACTCCACGCTGCTCCTGATGCCCATGTGCCCCAGCCCCAGCTGCATGAACCTGCCACCACACCACACCACACCGCACCGCACGCAGCAATGCACAGCACAGAGCAGACAGCGCAGAAGAGCACAGGGAAGTCGAAGGGGAGTGATGATCCAAGTGTCAGGGCCAGCCACGGCCCAAGTGCTCAAGAGAGAAATGGCCTTCCAGCGCTCAATATAGGGTGGAGGTGGAGGTGGAGGTGCGTGAAGCTGTAGACAGGAGGGCAACTGACTCTTGGGTGTGGGTGGTGCGAGGCAGAATGAGGATGGGCGCATCAAGGGACACGTTGTAGCGGATGCCACTGCTGCCGGCCACCTCCCACTGCTGGATGCGCCGCTCGATGCCGCCCACCGCGTCCACCACTCGCACCACCATCTCCTGCCTCACCCCCGGCGCTGCCAGCCCCCAGAAGTACGCCATGAACTGCCCGGGGGGGTTGGGGGGGGGGGGGGGGGGAAGGGGGGGGGAGAGAAGCGGTGGAGGAAGGGCGTCATGCAGAGCGCAAGCAGGACGTGGTGCATTCAGACAGTATATTTTGCGATGCGCTTGCAGCCAGCCACTTGTTATCTCCTAGGAGATGTGTTACCTCTTGCACGAAGCGGTAGAGGAAGATGAGGCGCACGGCAGACAGCTTGCCATCGATGCTGTACTCAAAGCCCTCGTAGTCATCGTCGTCGGGGTTGTACGAGTTGTACTCTATCTGCTCATGGACCGCGCGGCAGGGGGCAGGGAGCGATGCAGGGGAGGGGAGGGCCAGGTGTGGCAAGGTGGAGAAGGAGAACCGGTGGGGTGGGAGGAAGGGAAACAGACAGAGCAGGGGAGCAGGGAAGGTGGAGTAGCAGGTTAGCACGGTAGCGGACAGCATTGATGGACTCTCACAGCTCAGTCACAGCCAATACCCCCTTGTACATTGAGCAAGCACTCTTATCAACTTGACTCTGCCTTTCCTCCTCGTGCACCCACCATCTGCCAACTTCTCCTTCCACCATCCCGCCCACAGTGACATGTGTGAGTGGCCGCACACGGCATATTCTTTGTCCTCCATTGCCTTGTGATCTTTCTGTAAGAGTGGTTCAGCCACCCTCGGACATGTGATGGCAGCACAGGTTACCGTGGGCTCACCTCAACCAGCGACGCGCTCTGCTTGTCCCGCAGATCACAGAACCAGCGCCATGGGTGGGATGCTGGCAGCTGCAGGTTGCACAGCCGCAGATTGCCCAATGAGGCGTTGACACGTGTCGATGCAGGGAATACCTGAGATTGAGGCATCACACACGAGAAATAAGTTGTGCATAATCATGAATGCATGAGAGTGGAGTGGAGTGGAGTGGAGTGCACAAGACAAGTGCACAAGACAAGTGCACAAGACAAGTGCACAAGACAAGTGCACAAGACAAGTGCACAAGACAAGTGCACAAGACAAGTGCACAAGACAAGTGCACAAGACAAGTGCACAAGACAAGTGCACAAGACAAGTGCACAAGACAAGTGCACAAGACAAGTGCACAAGACAAGTGCACAAGACAAGTGCACAAGACAAGTGCACAAGACAAGTGCACAAGACAAGTGCACAAGACAAGTGCACAAGACAAGTGCACAAGACAAGTGCACAAGACAAGTGCACAAGACAAGTGCACAAGACAAGTGCACAAGACAAGTGCACAAGACAAGTGCACAAGACAAGTGCACAAGACAAGTGCACAAGACAAGTGCACGAGAAGAGAAATGGAGTGAACGCAGGAAAAAATAGAAGCTCACCTTGACCTGCACGCTCAGCCTCTCCTGCTCCAGCATGGCGAGCTGCCTGCCGTCTTCGAGGTTAAGGAAGATGCGCGCGTGCTGCATGGCCATGTGCAGCCCAAACACCACGCGCGCCTTGCCCCGCCCCAACAACCCCTTCACCGCCTCCCGCCCCATCTGACCCTCCCGCTCCCCCTTCTCCTCCACACCCTCTCCCTTCCGCCCTTCATCCCCTCCCCTGCTGCGGCTGCCTGCCATCCCAGGGCTGCCAATCTCAGCGGCAGGGGAAGCAGGCGGCAGAGCAGGGGCCGGGAGATCAACAGTGGGAGGCATAGGAGCTGCGCCTGTTGTGTGAGACGGCTGTGTGGCGGTGGTGCCAGCAGGCGGCGTGGGGAGTGGTGGTGGCGAGAGGTAGATGGAGAGTTCCATGAGAGCGACGATGGAGAGTCGGTTGCAGAAGAACTCAAGCGTTGCCATCTCCACCGCCACCTGCTTGTGCCACTCACAGCAATGCCACACACAGCAGCGCCACGCACAGCAGCACCACACAGCAGCACGCAGCACACACAAGGGAGCACACGGAGAAGAAGAGAGGTAATATGCAGATGGTGGGAGAGCATGGAGGAGAGGAGTGGCAGCGTATGTGGACAAGGCAACAGTCAATCTGTTTCGTGTCTCGCATCACAGCAGCGCACCTGAGTGTCAACACCGGTGTAGCTGGGTGATGACGGCTGGTACATGCCCACCTGCACCACCACAAAGTCCCCCTCCTCCTCTTCCTCTTCCTCCTCCCCGCCTGCCCCCCCGTCCTCCTCCTCGCCCTCCCCCTGCCTCGCACGCCGCCTGCTCGCCCCCGCGTGCTGCCACCCCATGTCGGGCAGCAGCCGCCCCGCACGGCCAAAGCTGGGCACGTTGGCGGCGTCGCCGTCGTCCAGAGCGAAGTCACGCGCATCGAAGAACTCCGCCGCGCCGCCGTACCCTCCCCCTCCCTCGCCCTCGCCCGCTGCTGCACCGTGGCGGGGCGTGGACGCCCCTGATGACGTGGGTGACATCAGGAACTCTGCCTCCGCATCCGCAAAGCCATCCTCGTCCTCATCCTCTTCATCATCCTCATCATCCTCATTATCCTCCGCCTTGCTCTTGTTGCCCTCCTCGATCTCTTTGCCTTCCTTGCCCTCCTCCTCTTTCGTCCCTTCGCCCCCTGTCTCAGTGCCCTCCAAAGTCTCCCTTGTGCTCACGTCTGCCACCCCCTGCTCAGCCCCAGGTGCCGCATCTGCACTCGCGAGCCTGCCACTCCCACCATCACCATGCACACCCTCCCCCACATCCTGCTCCTTCTGCTGCTCCTCCCCACCCTCTCGTCCCCCTTCCCTGCGGGGTGCTGCAGCAGCAGCGGTGTGGGGGGCAGCGTGGGGCGCGAGCAGGGAGCGGGCCATGAGGCGGCAGGTGGGGGCGAGGGGGCCAGCGCCCTGGAAGAAGTCCTCCACCTCCACCTCGCGCACGCCCACCCCCACCGCCACGTCCGCTGAACGCTGCTGCACCTCCACCTTCCCCCCCGCCGCCCGGATCTCGATTATCCTCTCCTCCTCATCCCACGATGCCGCCCCTCGCCGCTGGGGGGGGGTGGGAGGGTGGCGCAGGGAGGCGGGCAGGGAGAGGAGGAAGGCAGTGGAGCAGTGAGGACCGGAAGAGCACACACTTACAAGCACAGCATACCTAATCACTTACAGCTGTGCGTCAACCCCGCTAACACATTGTCAGCGCCTCATGCAACGCATGCCGTCATGACCACAAGGACTTCACTCACAATGGAGGTCTCAGGGCAGGAGGGGAGTGACTCACGACGGAGCTGATGGCGAGGCGCAGGTCGTCCAGCGCACCCATGATGTAAAGGAACGGCTTCTCCTGCGCGCCCGCTGCTGCTCCCGCCTCCTCCACCGCCGCTGCCGCACGCACAGACGGCGACAAAGCCTCTTCTCCAGCCAGCTGTCGCTCAGGTGAGGCGATGGGCACGTGGTGAGGTGCTTGTTCAGGTGCTTGTTCAGGTGCTTGTTCAGGTGCTTGTTCAGGTGCATCTGAGGAGAAGGCGTCGTCAGTGAGGAGGTCCATGGAGGCAGGCGCCTGTGGGGCACACGCACGGACAGAGACAAGCAGGCAGAGCAGTGAGGGCACAAACATGTGTGAGACATTGGAGCGTGAGAGAGCGGCAATGGTAACCAAACACACTCGTGGTGGGCGAGGAGAGCGCAGAAGGAAGGAGGAGGCGAGGTAAGTGAGATATTCAAGTGCATGTGAGACAAGTGAGATATTCAAGTGAGATATTCAAGTGAGATATTCAAGTGAGATATTCAAGTGAGATATTCAAGTGAGATATTCAAGTGAGATATTCAAGTGCATGTGCCTCTCTGCGTCCAGCTTCACTGCCTCGCATCCTTTTCCAATGCTCTGGGTGGTGAAACAGTGGCAGAGGGGGTGAGGGCCACGGCACTCACAGAGGCGTGGTAGAGAGCTCTTGTGAGGCGTGCAGCCCACTGCGCCTTGATGGCCTCCGACTTGAGTCGCAGCACCACCGCCTGCCCTGACAGCACCACCTGCTCCCTCCACAGCCAAAGCAGCAGTACCGTCAGCAAGGCCACAAGCAATACGCAGCAAGTAGCAACGACTCAGGAACAAGTAGCATGCACAAAGGGGCAAGAAGCAATGAAATGAAACATCACACAAAGCACTCCCAATGTTGTACGCCTAACGGCAAAGCCGGGAAGCCCAGCAGAGAAGAAGCGGCGCCCATGTGTGGGGATGTGAGGGGCAGCGCGGCACACAGATGAGGTGCCGGCATGCAGCAGCATGGGCGGGGAGGCGACGCACCTTGGCAGGTTGAGCGCCGCGGGCAGCGAGGGCAATGACGTGGTGGTAGCCCGCTATGTGCTGCGGGGGCACGTCCACCACCCCCATGGCGCTGCTCACACTGCCATGCGCGTGACAGGGGGGGGTGAGGGGGGCATGACGTGGTCAGGATGCATGCATGCATGCTCGCAGGCGTGATGCACGTGGAGATGATCTGCATCAGTTTGCGCCTTCAGTTTGCGCCTTCAGTTTGCGCCTTCAGTTTGCGACAGAAAGCGGTGGGTGGGGGGAGTTGAGTTGAGTGCAAGCGGGATGGGCGAGAGGGACGGTGGGTGAGGCAAGAGGGAGGACGGGCGTACTTAATTTGTTTGTGTGGCTTGGAGGCCTCGGGGTGGTCCAGCAGGTACAGCGTGGGCCCCACCAGTGCCGCCCAGTACGGCACCCACTCCGCTGCACTGCCTATGCGCTGCCGTACCGTGTATGGACATTAGATGGGCATGGGAAGAGTGTGGGAGAGCATAAGAAGAACATGAGAGATGGGGAGGCAACGAGATGAGTGGATGGAAGTGGAAAACAATGGGTGATGCGGCTTCACATGAAAAGGCCCCAGCACACACATCCCATCTCTCACCGTCCATTGCGCAGGCACACATCCCATCTCTCACCGTCCATTGCGCAGGCACACATCCCATCTCTCACCGTCCATTGCGCAGGCACACATCCCATCTCTCACCGTCCATTGCGCAGGCACACATCCCATCTCTCACCGTCCATTGCGCAGGCACACATCCCATCTCTCACCGTCCATTGCGCAGGCACACATCCCATCTCTCACCGTCCACTGCAGCAGGCACACATCCCATCTCTCACCGTCCATTGCAGCAGGCACACATCCCATCTCTCACCGTCCACTGCAGCAGGCACACATCCCATCTCTCACCGTCCACTGCAGCAGGCACACATCCCATCTCTCACCGTCCATTGCGCAGGCACACATCCCATCTCTCACCGTCCACTGCAGCAGGCACACATCCCATCTCTCACCGTCCACTGCAGCAGGCACACATCCCATCTCTCACCGTCCACTGCAGCAGGCACACATCCCATCTCTCACCGTCCATTGCGCAGGCACACATCCCATCTCTCACCGTCCATTGCGCAGGCACACATCCCATCTCTCACCGTCCACTGCAGCAGGCACACATCCCATCTCTCACCGTCCATTGCGCAGGCACACATCCCATCTCTCACCGTCCATTGCGCAGGCACACATCCCATCTCTCACCGTCCATTGCGCAGGCACACATCCCATCTCTCACCGTCCATTGCGCAGGCACACATCCCATCTCTCACCGTCCATTGCGCAGGCACACATCCCATCTCTCACCGTCCATTGCGCAGGCACACATCCCATCTCTCACCGTCCACTGCAGCAGGCACACATCCCATCTCTCACCGTCCATTGCAGCAGGCACACATCCCATCTCTCACCGTCCACTGCAGCAGGCACACATCCCATCTCTCACCGTCCACTGCAGCAGGCACACATCCCATCTCTCACCGTCCACTGCAGCAGGCACACATCCCATCTCTCACCGTCCATTGCGCAGGCACACATCCCATCTCTCACCGTCCACTGCAGCAGGCACACATCCCATCTCTCACCGTCCACTGCAGCAGGCACACATCCCATCTCTCACCGTCCACTGCAGCAGGCACACATCCCATCTCTCACCGTCCACTGCAGCAGGCACACATCGCCCGCCTGGTCGGCCTGCTGCCATGGTCGCACCGCCACCGCCCCATCACCCTCGCCCGCCACCCCGCCCTCCGCAGCGTCAGCTTCAGCAGCAGGAGGCGGCGCGGGGGAGAGCGCTCGGAGGGCGCGCATGAGGCGGCGGTAGCGAGCGGGCGAGTAGTGGAAGGCGAGGCAGGGCAGCCACACGGCAATGCGCGTGGTGGGGTAGCTGGGGTGCTCCACCATCATCTGCACAGCCGCCAGGGGTGTGGCATGGCATGGCGCACACGCACACGCACTCATGCTCGTTTCCCCGGTGTGCTTAAGATGCGACATAGGCACGTGGCTGGTATGCAACATAGGCACGTGGCTGGTATGCAACATAGGCACGTGGCTGGTATGCAACATAGGCACGTGGCTGGTATGCAACATAGGCACGTGGCTGGTATGCAACATAGGCACGTGGCTGGTATGCAACATAGGCACGTGGCTGGTATGCAACATAGGCACGTGGCTGGTATGCAACATAGGCACGTGGCTGGTATGCAACATAGGCACGTGGTTGGTATGCAACATAGGCACGTGGCTGGTATGCAACATAGGCACGTGGCTGGTATGCAACATAGGCACGTGGCTGGTATGCAAGCAGACTAGAGGAACCCACCTGGTGCTGCACGGCAGAGACCCACCTGGTGCAGCACAGAAGAGACCCACCTGGTGCAGCACAGAAGAGACCCACCTGGTGCAGCACAGCAGAGACCCACCTGGTGCAGCACAGCAGAGAGGCCACACTTCTGCAGCAAGTCCAGTCGCAGGCCCCCTGATTCGCCCTCCCCTGCACCCTCCTCCCCATCCATGCCACCGTGCTGCTGCTGCTGCTGCTGCTGAGTAGCGGCGCCAGTCAAAGTGGCCATCAGCGACGGACATGGAGATGTCGGTGGCGGTGATCTTGAACCGCGTGTACAGCGCTGCTGCCGCCATGGCCTCACTGCCCTCCGCTGACGGGTCGTCCTGCAGGGAGGCGCGGGGAAAGGGGACGGCCGGGAGAGTGGTGAGGTGCTGCCAGGGTTGTTGTCAGCCGTGCCTTTGGGACGAGCAGCGGCAAGAGTAGGCTAAGCATGAGCAATGCCCAGCCAGCCACTAGACAGGTCTTGGTGGCAAGCCAAGTGGCAGAACAAGTTGGCTGAGTTGGCTCATGGCGAGCTTGTCAGCGCCCTCACGTGGCTGCGTGAGGAGGCCTGCAGGAAGCTGAGGAGGGCACCTGGTCGGTCTTGAGCATGAAGTGGCCGAAGTCCAGCAGCAGCTGTGTGGGTGGCTCCCCGTGGGGCGAGGGGTCAGCGGGGATGGCCACCTTGGGGGCGTCAACGTCCAGATCTATGGAGAACCTGCCAGGGGGGAGGGAGGTGGTGGGGGTGGGGGTGGGGGTGGGGGTGGGGGGGATATGCAACGGGCAGGGGTGAGAGTGCAAAGGTGATGAATTGAAGTGGCGGTGACGGTTGGGTTTGGCATGCGGTGTGCTCCAAGCATCCTCGTCCTCAACGCCCCTGTTGCACCCCCAAAGCCCCCATTTGCTCTTCTGCCCTCCCTTGACCCTTTTACCCCCCCATTTGCCCCCTCCGCCATACCTGGTGCGTCGCTGCAGCACCTGCTGCAGCTGCTGCTGAGCCTGCCGCCGCACGTCCTCTAGCTTGCTCTGCAGGGGGGGGGGAAGGCGTGTGCGGGAGCATGGCGGCAGGGGCATGGAAGGGTGTGCAGAACAGCGAAGGAAGCACTTGTGAGTTGGTATGGAGAAGGTCACGCATTCTCAATTACCACGTAGTGAGGTATACATGCTTAGTGCCATAACGTGCGGGTGCATGATCCGAGTCCGAGGGCAGCGCAGAGAGAGGGGGCACCTGCAGGGCGGCAGCGGTCTCGAGGGCGACGGCAGGCGTGGCCTGCTGGCCCGCGCGCAGGAAGTGCAGCACTCGGTCTATGCTGCGCCGCCACAGCTGCCCGACCATTGAGGGGTTGAGAGGGAGAGGGCGAGAGGGAGATCAGAGGAACAACATTGCAAGGGGGGAATGTGAGAGAGCACAGCAGGGGGGAATGTGAGAGCAGAGCAGAGGTCAAGAAGAGTGACGGGGCATGGGGTGTAGGGAATGAAGAAGACGAGGGATGTAGGGCGAGGGAGGAGTGACGAGGGAGGAGGGACGAGGTATGAGGGATGAGGAAAGAGGGAGGGAGGAGAGAGGCGGGATGAGAGCAGGGGAATGCGGGATGAGAGCAGGGGAATGCGGGAAGAGGGGGGGGTGGCAGGGTTACCGTGACGTGGCAGGGCGAGAGGGCAGCGAGCAGCATCCAGTCGAGGTGCTCGTCGATGGGGTGCTGCACGAATGATGCTGTCAGCGCTGCCTCCTTGCCCTCCCTGCTCACACTCTGTGCTCTCATGCACGAGGGCGCGCGCACGCACACACACACACACACACACACACACACACACATACACACACACACACACACCCACCCCAGGTCATGGCAGGGACAAGTTCCTGAGTGCATAGAACGTGGTGCAAAACAGCAATATGTATGCATGATGGCAGCAGTAAATGTGAGAGACACCCCCATGCAGGGCAAAACACTCCAATGACAAGCAATGAACATGCACCTCGCCCTCTCACCAAACCTCCTCTCAGCACACCCTCTCACCTCAATGAGCGTGCCTTCAGGCACGGAGAGGTCATAGAGGCGCAGGCTGACGTCAGCCTTGAGCATGAGGGGGAAGAGGCGCAGCGCCACGTGCAGGTGGTGGCACGACCCACACACCACGTCCACGCCCGCCCCCCCATCCACGCCCGCCCCCCCGTCCACGAGGCGAGCGCGGAAGCACTCCATGGCCACCTGCACCAGCATCTGCACCGCCCCCGCGTGTGCCTGCCCCGGCTCATACTGCGCCTCCTCCCCCGCGCGCACCAGCTCCTCTATCTTCTCCCACTCCTCCGCACTCAACCCTCCCCCCACCCCCTCCTCCTCCGTCCCCTCGCCCCCCCCTGCTTCTGCTGGCACAGACGCCCCTCGCCTGCCAGGCACCCAGCACGCGCAGCAAGATGGGGAAGGGGGATGAGGGGTAGGTTGGGTTGGCACACAGACAGCAAGGATGAGGTGTGGATCGGGCCACGGACAGGGTTTAGGGAAGCAGGCAGCAGGCAGCAAGAAGGCAGCAGCAAGGAATGGCAGCAAGCCACAGTGCCCCAGCACTCGTAGAATCCGTGCATGTGCCTCGTGGGTCATGGTATCCCGCGGACCACCCCGTCTCACCAGGAGGCGAACCACCCCTTGGCCTTGGGCTGCACTGCCTGCCGCTGTGCCTTGGGTCGGCTGCGCTCCGCCTGCGAGTGTGCCAGCATGCTGTGCCGCATGTGGGGCATGGGGGGGCGCAGAGGCACAGGGGGCAGAGAGAAGAACGGCAAGTGAGGGACAGGGAAGAGGCAGGTGACAGGGCAGCAGTCAGAATATGACATGCGGGGTGCGCACAGGCCCGACACACCAGCCATCCTCTGCCACTTGATCTCCCTCGGTTATTCTGCCCTAGCGACTCACTCCATCCCTCCCCCCCTACTGAGAGCTCACCGCCATAGCAGGGCGACCTCCACGCTGACGTGCGCCTCAATGGAACGCATCTCAGCGCTGTCCGCCGCCACACCCGGCTTCACAGGGCCGCCCGACGCCCACGCGTCCAGCAGCGCGTGAGTGTATGCCGCCACATAGCGGCGCCGCATGTTGCAACTGTCCTTGATGCTCTTCCATGTCATGGTGGGCCTGCATGCCGCACAGCACGGCGCCCTGGTCATTGTGTTGTGTGCAACACCAAACCCGACAGCACCTCGCAATGGGACATGGCAGGCGACAGCAAAACGCAGCAGTCAGGCGTGCAGCCAAACGCAGCAGTCAGGCACACCTGAGGGCGTGATGCTGCTGCAGCAGGGCGCGTGCGGCAAAGCGCCACCAGAGGGCGGCGTGGGAGCGCACAGGCAGGCGCGGGCGCAGGTGAGCGACGTCCACTCGGCGGCGATACAGCGCTGCCGCCTCCATGAAGCGCATCCCGTCCTCGTACTGCGTCTGCTCCACCAGGACCGTAGTGGGGGAGGAGGGAAGCGTGGATAGATTAAATAAGGGTGGGACAGGCAAGGGCAAGGGGATTCATATGAGAGAGTGAGCGCCACCTGCCCCAGCTGCACTGACCTGTGAGAGAGTGAGCGCCACCTGCCCCAGCTGCACTGACCTGTGAGAGAGTGAGCGCCACCTGCCCCAGCTGCACTGACCTGTGAGAGAGTGAGCGCCACCTGCCCCAGCTGCACTGACCTGTGAGAGAGTGAGCGCCACCTGCCCCAGCTGCACTGACCTGTGAGAGAGTGAGCGCCACCTGCCCCAGCTGCACTGACCTGTGAGAGAGTGAGCGCCACCTGCCCCAGCTGCAGGGCAGCAGTCTGGAAGGGCACATCATCGCGCCGCCTCTCCTTCTTGCTGCGCCGCTCATACCGCATCCTGCCGTCCACCGGATGCAGCAGAAACTGCCGATTCGCCGCCCAGTCAATACCACGTGCACTGGGTGGCGCCTGCTCGTGAATGCCCGCCTCAAACACCTGCGAGATGGGGCACCCGGGGAGGCAGCACCGCAGAGCACAGCAGCATGTGGGCAACGGCGGACCCCAGGGCCCTTTAGCACAGAAGTGACCTTAATCGTCTGCCAACCCTTGCACAGGACACGTGTGGGCAGGCGGTGCAGTGCGAGCAGGGAAGGCGGTGCAGTGCGAGCAGGGAAGGCGGGCAGGCATACCTCGCTCCACTGTGCGCCCTGCATGGCGTCCCATGCGGTGTGTGGGTCCCACGGCCCGCTGTTGCTGTCGTGGTACACCGCCAGGCGCTCCAGATGTACTGCCTGGAAGGAGGGAGGGGCGTGGACGGAGTGTATTGCATGCCATCACGCATACAGGGGGGGGGGGGGCATAGGACAGCAGAGCAGATGGCGCATGGGACAAAAGAGCAGAGGGAGCATGGGCACGCACCTTGTAGAGGCTGTCGAGCGCCCCGCTGGTGACGAAGGTCTCCACCCAGTTCTCATCCGTGGTGACTGCTGCCAGCCTGGCCAGTGTCACTCCCGTGCAGAAGGGGCGGCCTGAGAGGCTGTAGCGGGACGGAGAGCAGGAAGGAGCGCATGAGAATGGAAGCACGTGAGGAGAATAGGTGGTTGGTTTGATTAGCGGAGAATGAGAAGCAAGCAATGATTCAGAAAGGCGTCATGCTGCTCCTATGGTGCTCATGTGCTCATCCTCTTGGTGTGGCAGGAAGAGAGGTGCAGGGGTGGTGGCATGGCATGGCATGGCATGGCATGGCATGGCATGGCATGGCATGGCATGGCATGGCATGGCATGCACGGACCTGCCGGGGTCCTCATAGCGGATGTGCACGTTGGTGAATGAGATCTTGATGTTGCCCACTATTGTGGCGATCAGTGATGATATCCATGACCCGCTGCCCGCCTGCTCCATCCCCCATGCATGCATGCCATGCACACAGTGAAGTGAAGGAGCACCGATTATGCCACACTACAGGTGTTGAAAGGAAACTTAGAATTAAGACGACTGGAGCTGGAGCAGCAGAGGTAGAGCATGTGTGAAGCAGGTGCGCATGGGTGTGGCAGCCGTATGACCCCCTAAACTCACTCCCCCCTTCCTGCATTGCCTCTCCTCCTGCACTCCCCCTTCCTGCACTCCCCCTTCCTGCACTCCCCCTTCCTGCACTCCCCCTTCCTGCACTTTCCCCCTTCCTGCACTTTCCCCCTTCCTGCACTTTCCCTCTTCCTGCACTCCCCCTTCCTGCACTTTCCCCCTCCTGCGATCCCCCCCTCCTACACACCCTCTCTCTCCTGCACTTGCCCCACCTTTCCTTCACTCCCTTTCCTCCTCTGTGTCCCCCTCGCCTCCTCTCATCTCTCGCCTCCTCTCATCTCTCACCTCCTCTCATCATCCTCACCTGCTCGTCGCCTCCTGCTTTCTGCCGCTCCCTTGCTTCCAGCATTGCCGCCTCTGCCTCCTGCACGTGGCAGCACATGAGAGGCGGTTGGATGCACATATACCAGGGGAGTGCAGGCATGGGAGTGCAGGCATGGGAGTGCAGGCATGGGAGTGCAGGCATGGGAGTGCAGGCATGGGAGTGCAGGCATGGGAGTGCAGGCATGGGAGTGCAGGCATGGGAGTGCAGGCATGGGAGTGCAGGCATAGGAGTGCAGGCATGGGAGTGCAGGCATGGGAGTGCAGGCATGGGAGTGCAGGAAGGGGGGGGTGAGCATCAGCATGAGATGCATACGAGCGGGTGCGAGGCTCACCTACACTAGACAGACAGAGCCGACATATACTGAGCAGCATGACGCCCGCACATCACCAACACAGCAGCACGCGCCCAGTGGTGGCTCATGGCATGGCGTACCTCTATTCTGCGCCTCTTTGCTTGCAGGCGTTGCTGCTCCTCCTCCTCCGCTGACTGCACCCCAACCACAACTCCCAGGCACCCCCCAGCAGCGCAAGAGGCAGCATGAGACAGGATGGCAGGGACACTGCAACAAACCCTTGGATACGGAGGTGCGACAACTGGAGCATAGGAGATGTACTGGAAAAGCAGAACCAATCAGCACACGTAGTGAATTTGTAAACGTGTGGGGCAAGAGGGTTTCGAATAAGCAAAGGTGAGAAGACAAGCGATGCAGTATCAAGGGAAGAAAGGGATGTTGGGAACACGGATTGGAGGGATGGTGGGAACACGGATTGGAGGGATGGTGGGAACACGGATTGGAGGGATGGTGGGAACACGGATTGGAAGGATGGTGGGAACACGGATTGGAGGGATGGTGGGAACACGGATTGGAGGGATGGTGGGAACACGGATTGGAAGGATGGTGGGAACACGGATTGGAGGGATGGTGGGAACACGGATTGGAGGGATGGTGGGAACACGGATTGGAGGGAGGGTGGGAACACGGATTGGAGGGAGGGTGGGAACACGGATTGGAGGGATGGTGGGAACACGGATTGGAGGGAGGGTGGGAACACGGATTGGAGGGAGGGTGGGAACACGGATTGGAGGGATGGTGGGAACACGGATTGGAGGGATGGTGGGAACACGGATTGGAGGGATGGTGGGGAGGGGGTGGAGGCAGCGGGGGAGGGGTGGGGAGGAACCTGATGGGAGGCGGAGGCGGGGGCAGAGGAGGGGTGGGCGAGGATGAAGACTCGATCCAGCAGCAGCACCACCGGCTCCACTCCCAGGCGACTCCATGGCACCTGCACCGCATGGCACGCAAAGCAAGTCACAGCACACCGCGGGCATGGATGGCAGAACGTGGCAGGGCATGGTGCGAGCGCAAATGAGGGCATATCATGGCGCGTGCACTGTGAAGCTCGTCACACCACAGCACTGCTTTCCAGAGCCTTGGACGACAGCCTTCACAACATTGCAGAGCACTACCAGTGCCACAGCATTATGACGCATTACTGCTCTTTATGGCACATTCCAGCACATCATGCGTGCATCATGTATGCATGCGACCATGAAGGCACATTACAGCACATCATGGCACGCTAGAGCAGACTACGGCACCTTTTAGGCACATTGCGTACCATCAAGTGTGCAATATGCAACCCTTACAGGGCATGATGCCACACTGGAAGACAACATGGCACACTGGAAGACAACATGGCACACTGGAAGACAACATGGCACACTGGAAGACAACATGGCACATTACAGCACATCATATGCGCATTAAATGACCACTGCGACACATGATGACACATTAAGGCACGTTATGGCATATAACAGCACACTACCGCACATTATTACAGCATGACGGCACCTAGATGCACCATAGAACACATTACAGCACATTACTTTGCCCATTATGCGACCACCACAGCACATTATCGCACATTGCAATACAACGTGGCACATTGCGACACATCGTGGCACATTGCGACACATAGTGGCACATCACAGCACATCGTTATGCATCACGGCACATAGTGGCACATCACAGCACATCGTTTTGCATCACGGCACAAAGTGGCACATCACAGCACATCGTTATGCATCACGGCACAAAGTGGCACATCACAGCACATCGTTATGCATCACAGCACGTAGTGGCACATCACAGCACATCGTTTTGCATCACGGCACAAAGTGGCACATCACAGCACATCGTTATGCATCACGGCACATAGTGGCACATCACAGCACATGGAACACCACAGCACATCATGCACGCACTAAGAGACCAGTTAAAGACATTCTGGCAGTTGATGTGGCCGTTATGCGACCACCATGGCACAGCACGGCATGTCAGCAATGGCCCAGAGATGGTGCACGGCGAGCACGTCTTTGAAATAAGGCGGCAACCGACAAGGACGTGAGAGGACACGATAGGTTCAACCAGGCCCAGACCCATATAAAAAGCCGTGAGAGACGGGCAGACGCGCAAGGACAGAAGCAGTGTGGGTGTGAGCAGGTTCGGGGGAGGAGGAGCATGTGGGGGCATTGAGGAGCATGAGTGCGGGCAGCGAGGACCATGAGTGTTTTGAGACGTCTCAAAGCAGCGAGGAGCGGAAACCTTGAGGTTGACGGAGCCGATGAAACCCGCCTTGACGGCGATGGGCAGGCGCAGGCGGTTGAGCGCCTCCTCCTTCAGCTGCAGGTCCCTGAGCACCACGTCGCCTGCCCACATGCATGCATTCATGGTCCCCTCACACACGTCCCCGGCACCACGATTGAAGCGCGCAGCAACATGAAGAGGAAGAGGACGAGCAAGGTGAGAAGGCAAGGAAAGATGAAGAGGCACAGTCGTGCACGGGGAACACGCACCCGCCCAACGCTGACACACACAAAGGGGCGAGCCGCCGTTGGTATGACAGAGGGGGGTGAAGAGGAAACGGGGGAAGGGAGGAGGAGGAGGGGAGGAGGGCAAGAAGGAGAGGATGAGTGGTGAAATCGATGGAGAGGGGGATAAATGGCGATTGGAGAGAGCGGGAGAGGGATCTGGGGTGTCTGACCTTGCCACACGCTGATCTTGAGCGCCTCGTCTGGGATGTTGCGCACATACTCGCCCAGATACTTGCGCAGCAGGCCCAGCACCTGCCAGTCAAGTCGGCCAGTTGACAGAGAGACAAAGGGCTTGTGGACATCGAGCGATGATATGCATTATTGACGTCACGTGAAACTCGATCGGTAAAGTGGACCAAGTCGACTCGTCTTGAAATTCCGCTAACTGGATTTAAGACTTGGACAGCAAGATCCAATCAGTCGAGTTACGAAACCGGCAGCCATCAAGCCGTCCTAATGAAGTGCTGGCCCCAAGGGGGTAGCCAGGTTGACTTACGTGAGCTTCAAACATGGTTGACAGCCTTCGTTCCCAGCCGCAAACTCCCTTTCTTGGTACTCCACTACGCGCCTCCTAAATTCGTCAGTAGTAACATCGCGACTGAGAAATTATTTTCATAAAAAATGGCATTTCAATAAAATGACGGAGCTTCCCAAGAACTGACAGAAGCAAGCAGCGAGCCGTGCTGGAGAAGTGGCTCAAGCGGAATCTCCGATATTCCTCGGCGTACAGAATCCCATTTTTAGCTACAGTGGAATCTCCTACTATTTTCGGCTTATAAAGCTCGAGTTCTTGCAAGAAATGCTTCTTCATCCAATTCCTCTTTTCTATTCTCTTGAAACACTGCCTCACAAAAAGTCAATGCCTTGGTTCTGGATTTTCTCAATGTGCAAGCTTCAGATGGTCCGTTGGCCTTCTTCATGTACTCTTATCTTCTTGAACGGGTAACGCATTAACATCGTACCATATGGCCCCGGATAGTAGCGCCGTCCTACTAAAGCCGCAAGCGCTTCTATAGGGAGCATGGCGCTTATGGCCGTTCCTCATTTATAAGCGCACCCCTTTTGGAGGGTGTTATTATTATAGCGCATCCCTTTTCACTACTTTGGTTTTTAACTGCATATTATATTATTTTTTATCCAAACATGATTAACATGGCACTAACAATTGTTCTAGAATTAAAAATTACTAGCTAAGGCTACACATTTTAGAGTTTGGCATGTCTAGCTAAGATCTACTGGTCGTCAGACTCGGGCTTCTGGCAATTGTTGCCCCAGAAGCCATTGGCGATGATCTCATCATCGACGTCTATCTCATAGGTCAGCTGGCTCCGCCTTTGGGCCATGGCGAGCCCGTCCTCACTCCCAACAAGCACGTTGCTGATGCCATATCTGAGGAAAGCCTTCTCGATGAGGTCAGCTGGCACAGCCTTCTAGGCTCGTGAGATCCGCCTGAGCACCACCGCATGTAGCGGCTTCTTGAGGTTCCCTGCACCACAAGAAACAGACGGGGGGAAGCTGTTAAGATCAACAAGGGGGGGGGGGGGGGCATATTCTCAACGGTGGGTGCCGTACCTGCAGTTGTCAGTGTCTCTTGTCCCTCCTCTTCAAACCAGCTCTGGTACTGCTGGCGGACGGAGGCTTTGAAGCTCTTGTTGACCGAGACGTCAAGGGGTTGAACCTCCGCCGTGCAACCCACCGGGATCACCGCCGGCACGATGTTGAGCTCGGCGAACTTTGCCTTCACCGTTTCAGTGAGGTGACCACGGTAGGAATATAGCACGAGCATTGCGCTCCTCGCCTGCCTGCCGAACCGGGGCCTTATGGAGGGCTTAATATACTCGTCAAGCCATCGCGTGACGTCCGTGGCATCCATCCAGCCGTTCTGATGGCACGCCACGACAACATCTGCACAATCACGAGCAGAAAGTTAATCTCCGAATTTTAATAACAAACGATACAAACTTCAAACACCACAAACATCTCATACCCGGCAGGAAATCTCCCTTCGGCACCGTCTTGCGCTTGAAAAAGACCCACGACTTGAGCTTCTCCCCATCAGTCGTGCACGCCAACATCACAGATACGCGCTCCTTCTTGTTCCCAGCACTCCTGATAAGCACCGATCGAACGCTCGTTTGATCCATTGTGGTGGTGGCTTGCATCTCCAGCTACTGCGGCGTCTGGTCAGCGTTGATGATCCACCGGGTTTCGATGTCGCGCGCTCGACGGTTGTTACGGACGAACTGAAAAAAAAAAAATTTGCACTGCTCCGCAACATCTGTGAGCCACAGAGAAGGGGGGGGTGAGACGCATGGGTTAGAAAATCACAAGTAACACCAAGCACTTTTAACAAAATCAAAGTAATTCTTAAGGGCGGAGGTTTTCTTTGCCCACCTTTGTCTTCATGCGTACGCTCAGTTTCTAGCGTCGCCGAAACCGGTCCGAACACCGTTGACTCCCCTTCTACTTTACGTCGGGGTAGAGTACCTTCATATACTCCCGCGACCACTCCTGTAGATGACCGACGGAGACGGCGACTCCCTTGCGGCGCCAGTTGATGAGCTTCGCGTACACCTTGAGCTCCATCGGGCGGTACCACGACGCTCTCCCGCGACCGTGCATGCGCTTCCGTGCGGCATGTGCGTCCTTGAGGGTCTCCGCGGCTCTCTTCCACTCTGTGAGACACTTGCGGTGGATGCCGGATTCACGAGACAACGCGCGCACCAAAAACGCCACATCCAGGCGCGCAAGCCACTTCAACTTATCATGCGCGGTATAAGCGTTACGCTTATGTTGTGAGGGCTTGTTCATAGGAGAGGGGGGGCGGTCATCACGGTTCTGACAAAAAGGGTGGGGACGCTTGCGTATAATAGGCGGATACGACGGTATCGGTAGTTTCTTGGGAAGTCTGTCGCGCAACTAGTACTCGATGCCGTCGTCGTCATCACCGCCCGGGGCACCCTCGGGGAACACTTCAGCCGCAGTGCCAGCCTCGGTGCCAGTCTCGGTGCCCATCTCGGTGCCAGCCTCGGTGCCTTTGTCGCGCTCAGCGTGCCACTCGTCGTCGGCATCTGCCACATCGTCATCAGCGCCCACAGGAGATTCGTCCCATGTGCAATCTTCGGGCTGGCCCCAACGTGAAGCCGGCGCCAAAGCTTCTACCGGTATGTACTCAACTGGGGCCCTGTTGCTTTCCAATTCTGAGAGGTACTCGTCGAACGCCGATGGGAGCAGGAGCGTGAGCACAGTCCGATTGCCCGTGTTGTGAGGAGCCGACGGATACCAAGGAGCCAGCGAATACGGAGGAGCAAGAGGAGCAGGAGGCGCAGGAGGTGCAGGAGGAGAAGGCTGCGCAGGTGGCGCAGGAGGCTGTGGTGGCTCTGGTGGTTCTGCTGGGATAAGGATATACCAGTCGTCAGCCTGGTGAGCAAGAAATGAAAACTGAATCAGAAACTGCAAAAACGGGTGAAGAAATGAAGTTCGGACTAGAGCGGCCCAGGATCACCGTCAGTGAGAGACATGTACCCCCCTGCCTGAACCCGCAGAGGAGGGTTCGCGGCACCACAGATGCTGCGCTGGTATGGGATATTCGCCCCCCTTCTCGAGGGTTCGGATGAGATGCTCCTGCCTTGCAGCGCATGACGATTTGATTGGGCCGCACGACAAGTTTCGTGTCAACGCTGGCAGGTGCAGTACTTCGGGACGGTTTCTGTGCGGTCGGAAATCGAATCGCTGCTGCATTTCATGTGAACATTTAACGGATGTGTTTGCCTTAAAGAGAGCTTCATTTTGGTATCGTTAACAACAAATTTCAATCTTCACATTTTAAAGGTGCATGCGCTTATACCCTAGACTCAATTACAAGCGCCCCCCCTTTAAAAAATTGATTTTATTATAAGTGCGCATGCGCTACTTTTCAAGATAGTAAGGACAGTGAGAAGCCACAGCTAGGGTTGACCTAGCTAGGCAAGCAAGAAATGAACAAAGGAGTGATTGAACTAACAGAGAAATCAGTACAAATAGCAAACCCTAGAATTGTGTACCCCATACAGGCTAACCCACTGTAGCCTAACCAAACACAACATATACAATGTTCGACACACCCCCATAGGCAAAGTGGGGGAGAACTAGGGGTCACAAGACCAGTCAGGGCAAAGCAAGGCAAAACAAGCTCAGGGTGGATCTCGAGGATTCCACACAAATTCCGAGCACAAGCAAGTGGTCACAAGACCAGTTCACATACAGGTTTATAATAGAGCAAGAGGTACAATGATCACAACCTAGCAAGAGTAAACATGCAGGTATATATATAGAGATCACAGTACACACAGAGTCAAGAAGTAAGTAAGTGAGGTCCAGTAGGCACAAGGCCTAGAAGAGTGCAAAAACGCTGATGGTCACAAGGCTGAAGCGCCTTGGTGAACACATCAGCAGTGTTGGCCTCAGTGGCCACGTAACGAAGACGAAGCTGGCCGCGCTGCTGCAGCTCTCGAGCAAGGAAGTACCGCAGGGCGATGTGCTTCGTTCTGTGCTCCAGTCTGTGCTCCTCACACAAGGCAATGGCAGCCTTGTTGTCGACGTACAGAACTAGAGGAGAACGAGGTCGCTCTCCCAGGTCGGTCAGCAGGTAGGTCAGCCAGCGTAGCTCCTGGGCCGCCATGGCTGTGGCGTAGATCTCAGCCTCACAACTGGAGCTGAGAACAGAAGAAGAACGCGTAGAGCGCCAAGAGACAGAGCCAGAGCCAAGGCTGAAAGTGTAACCCTGAGACGACCGCTGAGTAGCCTGGTCGTCCGCCCAAGAAGCGTCTGAGTGTCCAGTGAGCACAACTCGGTCTCGCCCTCCAAGCACTAGCCCCATGCCCGACGTACTGCACAAATAGCGCAACACCCTCTTAGCAGCATCCATGTGCTCCTTCCTGTGACGGCCAGGAGCGACATAGCGTGCAAGGATGCTAAGAGGGTATGCAAGGTCAGGTCGAGTGCAGGTCATCAGGTACATGAGGCAGCCCACAAGCTCTGGATACGGGCCACTCGGCTCTACGGACTCATCCGAAGGCAGAGCTGAGAGCGAGTGACCGGTAGGCAGAGGAGTGGACTGAGGCGAGGAGTACGTGAAGCGGAAGCGCTGGAGAACCTGCTGCACCATGTGTGACTGAGTCAGGGTGATGGTGCGCCGTGCTCTGTCCCGGGTGATCCGCAAGCCAAGATAGCTTGTCAGCTCACCCAGGTCTGTGCACGTGTGTCTCCTCTGCAGCTTCGACTTCACGTAGGCGAGTCCCGTAGTGTCAGCAGTGGCAAAGACCAGGTCGTCGACGTACACTAGGATGTAGAACGGCGGCAGCGAAGTGTCGGTGCGCAGAAACAGCGACGGGTCAGCAGTAGAAGGTGCGAACCCAAGAGCCGCAAGTGTATCCCTCAGTGTGTCGTGCCACTCACGTGGAGCCTGCCGGAGACCGTAGACTGGCCGCTGAAGCCTCCACTGGGTACCAGGAGGAAACGACCCAGTGAAGCCAGGAGGGCGGCGCAGCCAGATCTCCTCGTGCAGGCTGCCCTGCAAGAAAGCAGTGCTGAAGTCAAGTGAGTGAAGCTCGTAGTCGCGCTGAGCGGCTATGTGCAGCAGCACCCGAAGAGTCGTCATCTTCGGGGTGGGGGAGAAGGTCTGAAAGAAGTCTACTCCCTCTCGCTGACTGAAGCCTCGAGCAACGTAGCGCGCCTTGAAGACAGGAGGAGAACCCGGTGGCCGCTTCACCCTGAAAATCCACATGCCACTGACGATGTTCGCCCCAGGTGGGGGAACCTCGTCGACGTAGGTGCGTGTGGACTTCCAGGAAGCCATCTCTGCGTCCATGGCTGTCTGCCACTGAGAGGAGTAGGGACCCGCCATCGCCTCAGCGTAAGAGCGCGGGGTCGGGATGTCTGGTGCATCCGGGTCTCCCTCAGGGGCAACTAGCATGGACACGAGATGGGGCAAAGCAGCAGCAAAGCACTGGAACTCCTCCTGTCTGTCCTCAAGGACGTCCGTGCCAAGAGCACACTCACCCCCGACGGACGGAGGACAGACAGACGCAGACTCAGACTCAGCAACAAGGCTAGCAGCGTAGTCTAGGCGACACCGAGCAGCAAAGTCAACCAACTCAGCGACCAGAGCAGACGCAGCGGCGGACTCAAAGGTAGGGTCAGTGACAACGGTGGCGAGGAGACGCGTGACAGTGGGACTGGCAGCACGACGGGAGTCAGACTCCGGGTCAGGAAGAGTAGGTAGAGAGGACGCAGGAGGAGACGGCAGAGGGACACGCTGAGGAGCAGTGGACGGACGCAGAGTCATGTAGTGAGTGCCTGGGACAGGAGGAGGACGCTCACGATGGACACGACGACCAGGACGAGCAGTACGAACAGGCGACGCTGGACGAGACTCAGGCTGACGACGCTCTGTAAGGCCTCCTGTGGGACCAGTGTAAGGAGAGGGACTAGGAAGAGGCGAGGCAGGCGGGAACTGTGACTGCGACTGGACAGGCGGAGGACACTCTACGGAGGGAGGAGGACAAGGAGGAGGAGGCTGACCAAGAACCTGCTGAAGGAGCGGTACAAAGTACGGTCGCGGCCGCGCAGCGTCTCGAGAACCAGCAGAGACAGCAGCGCCAGGGTCCTCAGCACCAGCAGCAGCTCCACCGCCCGAGTCCTCAGCACCAGCAGCAGCTCCACCGGCCGGGTCCTCAGTACCAGTAGCAGCTCCACCGTCCGGGTCCACAGCACCAGCAGCAGCTCCACCGGCCGGGTCCTCAGCACCAGCAGCAGCTCCACCGCCCGGGTCCTCAGCACCAGCAGCAGCTCCACCGCCCGAGTCCTCAGCACCAGCAGCAGCTCCACCGCCCGGGTCCTCAGCACCAGCAGCAACTCCTCCACCGCCCGGGTCCTCAGCACCAGCAGCAGCTCCACCGCCCGGGTCCTCAGCACCAGCAGCAGCTCCAACGTCCGGGTCCGCAGCACCAGGAGCACCACTCCTAAGACTGCAGCGCCTCGTGTACCACTCTCGGATCTGCTGGAGGGGGGGGGAGCTCTCGGGCAGGAGGGGAAGCACCGCTACCAGCTCCAGCAGGACCTCTCCGGAGGCGGCAGTACTGTAGGTACCTCTCCTGCAGCTGCTGGGAGGAGAGAGCTCCTCCAGGTGTAGCACGCGCAGGCTCAGCACCCCCAGACTCAGCACCCCCAGTCTCAGCACCCCCAGACTCAGCACTCCCAGGCTCAGCACCCCCAGGCTCAGCACCACCAGGCTCAGCACCCCCAGGCTCAGCACCCCCAGTCTCAGCACCCCCAGGCTCAGTACCTCCAGACTCAGTACCGTCAGCCTCCTCACGCTCAGGCTCAGGACCTCTAGCAGGACGGGAGTCAACAGCTACCTCGACAGGGTCAACCGGGTCTACCTGGGACACACCTGAGGGAGCGGCACCCTGAGGGGGGAGGGGGTCTACCACAGCAGCACCTGGTGCGAGGAAGAGAGGCGGGGGGGGGGAGCGGGGCAGTGCGGTAGGGGAAGAGGCGGTAGAAGGGGACGGACTCGTCAAAAGTGACGTCCTGAGAAGGCAGAACCCGGCGCGAGGTGACGTGGTAAAACTGCCAGCCAGGCGCGTCCGGGACAAAGCCAAGGAAGACACAGGGGACAGCGCGACGGGAGAGCTTGTCCGCGGACGTGTCGCGAACAAAAGCTCGGGATCCCCAGACCCGAAAACGCGACGCATCGCCAACCTCTCCCGTCCACCGCAGAGTCGGGGAAGTCTCCGGCAAGGAGACACGGGGCCAGAGGTTGAGCTGATGCGCAGCGTATCGGACCGCAAACGGCCACAGAAAGTGGGGAGCAGCCGCATGGATCAGGGAGGTACGAGCGATCTCCATGACCAAGCCAATGCGGCGCTCAGCAACCCCATTCTGCTGTGGAGAGGCCGGAAGTGTGAACGACTGCTCAATGCCGTGCTCAGCACAGTAGGCTGCCAAGAGGTCGGAGGAGAACTCACCACCTCTGTTAGAGTGCAAGCGCAGGACAGGAAAGTCCGAGTGGAAACGCTCGCTGAGCTGGAGACGAGCTCTGCGGATCCAAGGGATCAAAACATCAGGGACCTCACCCTTGGTGCGCAAGGGGAAGACCGTGGTGTAGCGCGAGTAGTCGTCAACAACTATCAGGAAGTACCTCTCCTGACCCTGACCACGGACACGGGCTGGGCCCCACACGTCCATGTGGAGCGTCTGCAAGGGAGCAGTTGTCAGAATGCTATTATTGTCTAGCCTGCAGTGGGGTACTCTATAGTGAGTACAGCCCAATCTAGGGTTTGCTATTTGTACTCAACTGCCTGCTAGTTCAACCTCCCTCTACTTTCATTTCATTCTTGCCTAGTTCTTCTCTCATGGTATCAGAGCAGGAGGTCCCTAGGACCTACCGACCGTTTTTTTTAAGGGCCCACCACCGCTCGCATGCGGTTACCACGCTACCCCGCGCCCCTTGCTAGCGCCCTCGCGCGCCCCTCACTAGCGCCCTCGCGCGCCCCTCGCCGAGCCGCCCGCTCGCAGGGTTTAGGGTTTAGGCCCGTACGGGCTGCGCCAGGCCCGCGCGCGGCCCGTACGGGCTGCGCCAGGCACGCGCGCGGCCCGTACGGGAAGCGCCAGGCCCGCGCGCGGCTCGGGCCGCCTGCGCGCGGTTCGGGCGGCTCTACCAGGCCCGTGGGCGGCCCGTTCCTCGCTGCTCCTGCCCTCTCCACTGTCCCCCGTGCTTCTACCGGCGCCTCACCCCTCCTACAGCCCGTTCTCCTAAATTAGGGTTTGGGGGTGAAGAGTGTGGGGGTGGCGGCTATGGGGGTGTCGGTTGTGAGTTCCTCCCCCTGCTCCTCCTCCTCCCTCGTCTCCCTCTGCTACAGCTGCCGCTGAGGGGGGTGGTGTGTGGGAGCCTAGGGTTTGGGGTTTAAGGGGGGTACCGTCGGAGTGGAGCTAGGGTGTCAGCAGGGGGTGTGTGAGAGGGGCGTGGGACGGTCGGGGGAGATTGCGTGGAGGTAGCCGTCGTGACGCCAGCAGCGCCAGTAGTCCGGATGCCCTCGCGCGTTTCGGTAGCCCAGCGAGCCTGCTTCGCCAGTCGCCTGTGGGTCCGTTGCTCCTGTGTGTGCTCGTCGTAGCCGCGGAGCCAGATACTCCCGTAGTCCGGTGCCCTCGTGCGCTCGGTAGCCACTGTGCGCGCCGCTCCTGTTGCCCGTGTGTCTGCAGCTTCAGTCGGCGCCTTTCATCTTCTCTCCTCTCGCCAGCCCTCCTCCTCCTCGCTTGCCCTCTGTGACTGCCTCTAGCTTTGCTCATAACTGTGAACTTTAAACTATTGCTTCTTGAACTTGTGCTCAGAATGTGTGGTGACATTGTGATCCACCCTGAGCTTGTACTGCTTTGCTTGCTCTGCTGATTACACCCCACTTTGGCTATGGGGGTGTGTCAGAATGCTATTATTGTCTAGCCTGCAGTGGGGTACTCTATAGTGAGTACAGCCCAATCTAGGGTTTGCTATTTGTACTCAACTGCCTGCTAGTTCAACCTCCCTCTACTTTCATTTCATTCTTGCCTAGTTCTTCTCTCAGGGAGCAGTCGTCGGGGGAAAGGAGGAGGAGTGAGGAGCAGCGCGCTGCCGCCCCTCGACACAGGGAAGACAGGGAGGAGCAGGCGAGGGTGGGAGGGGAGGGAGAACCCTGGGAAGACCAGAGACAAGCTGCCGTTTGTGCATGGCGCGAAGGCGCTGCACAGACGGGTGGCCAAGTCGGTGGTGCCAGAGGACAGTGTCGTGCGCCAGAGAGCGACACGAGCAGGGGGCAGACAGCTGACCTGACGCAGACGCAGACGCAGACGCAGCTACCTGAGGGGACTCAGTGGTCAGTGTGTACAAGTCCGACCCCGGCTGCCGAGTGAAGGTAGCCAGGTGACGGCCCGTCCGAGCACACGTGCAGTGTGTCACGCGCTCGTAGGCAGGGGTGAACTGGTGAACACCCGCGTCCTGGAGCGCACAACCCGCCACCAAGTTCGTAGAGAACGAGGGGAGGTGGAGACCAGACAGTGTGCCCGACGGGACCGCAGGACAGGGAAGAACAGTGGAGGAGGTCGCAATGACCGGACCCCCAGAGGGGTCAGCGAGGGAGACAGCAACTGGCCGAGCAAGTGGCTCAAGGGCAGTGCGGTCACGAAAGAAACAGCGAGAAGCACCTGAGTCCAGGGTGAAGGTGTGCAGTGCCTCAGTCGACTCAGTACCAGCGGGGACAGACTCACTGGCACCTAGGGCGGCAGCCTCACCATCACCTGAGGTGGCAGACACGCGAGCACCTGCAGTGGCGGTCTCACTAGCACCTAGAGCGGCAGCCTCACTCACACTACACGGCAGCTGCACCGGTCCGCGACCAGAAGCTCCCGAACGACGCACTCCAGAGTGACTACCACGACCACCACCCCGAGAGCCCAAACTAGCGTACCACTCACGAGCTCGCTGAAGCGTAAGAGGACACTACTGCTGCACCTGTCCACTACCAGATGCTCCCGAACAACGCACGCCAGAGCGACTACCACTACGGCCACCCCGACAGCCCAAACTAGCGTACCACTCACGGGCCCGCTGGAGCGTAAGAGGACACTGCTGCTGCACCTGTCCACTACCAGATGCTCCCGAACGACGCACTCCAGAGCGACTACCACGACGGCCACCCCGACAGCCTAAACTAGCGTACCACTCACGAGCCTGCTGGAGCGTGAGGGACTCACGCGCACGGTCCTGGAGCTGCATCTTGTCACGTCAGGAACAGTAGCAGCAGGGGCAGTAACAGCAGGAGCAGTGACAGTGGGAGTAGCAGCAGTAGCAGCGGTAGCAGTGCTGGCAGGGGAGTGCTCACCAGTGGTCGGCGGGGCAGGCGCAAGGCGGAGGTGACAGTGTCAGAATGAACGGACAGGAATGACTGTACTAGCACAAAGTTGGATACAAGTAGTAAACCCTCATTTAGTGTACCCCCTAAGGTGTAACCCACTACAGCCTACAATCATATAAACATATAATGTTTGACACACCCCCATAGGCGCAGTGGGAGACAACCACAGGGTCACGAGACCAGTCAAAGCAAAGGAAGGCAAGCTCAGGGTGGATCTCAAGGATTCCACACAAATTCCGAGCACAAGCTAGTGGTCACAAGACCAGTTCACATGCAGGTTTATAACAGAGCAAGAGATACAGTGATCACAACCTAGCAAGAGTAAACATGCAGGTATAGATATATATAGTGATCACAGTACAAGCAAAGTCAAGAGGTAAGTAAGTGAGGTCCAGTAGGCACAAGGCCTAGTAGAGTGCAGAAGCGCTGATGGTCACGAGGCTGAAGCGCCTTGGTGAACACATCAGCAGTGTTGGCCTCAGTGGCCACGTAGCGAATACAAAGCTGACCGCGCTGCTGCAGCTCACGAGCAAGGAAGTACCGCAGGGCGATGTGCTTCGTTCTGTGCTCCAGTCTGTGCTCCTCACACAAGGCAATGGCAGCCTTGTTGTCGACGTACAGTACTGGAGGAGAACGAGGCGGCTCTCCGAGGTCGGTCAGCAGGTAGGTCAGCCAGCGTAGCTCCTGGGCAGCCATGGCTGTAGCGTAGATCTCAGCCTCGCAACTGGAGCCGAGAACAGAAGAAGAGCGTGTAGAGCGCCAAGAAACTGAGCCAGAGCCAAGGCTGAAGGTGTAACCCTAAGACGACCGCTGAGTGGCCTGGTCGTCTGCCCAAGAAGCGTCTGAGTGCCCTGTGAGAACAACTCGGTCTCGCCCTCCAAGCACAAGCCCCATGCCCGACGTACTGCACAAGTAGCGCAACACCCTCTTAGCGGCATCCATGTGCTCCTTCCTGTGACGGCCAGGAGCGACATAGCATGCAAGGATGCTAAGAGGGTATGCAAGGTCAGGTCGAGTGCAGGTCATCAGGTACATGAGGCAGCCCACAAGCTCTGGATACGGGCCACTCGGCTCTACGGACTCATCCGAAGGCAGAGCTGAGAGCGAGTGACCGGTAGGCAGAGGAGTGGACTGAGGCGAGGAGTACGTGAAGCGGAAGCGCTGGAGAACCTGCTGCACCATGTGTGACTGAGTCAGGGTGATGGTGCGCCGTGCTCTGTCCCGGGTGATCCGCAAGCCAAGATAGCTTGTCAGCTCACCCAGGTCTGTGCACGTGTGTCTCCTCTGCAGCTCCGACTTCACGTAGGCGAGTCCTGCAGTGTCAGCAGTGGCAAAGACCAAGTCGTCGACGTACACGAGGATGTAGAACGGCGGCATCGAAGTGTCGGTGCGCAGGAACAGCGACGGATCAGCTGTAGAAGGCGCGAACCCAAGAGCCGCAAGTGTAGTCCTCAGTGTGTCGTGCCACTCACGCGGAGCCTGGCGGAGACCGTAGACCGGCCGCTGAAGCCTCCACTGGGTACCAGGAGGAAACGACCCAGTGAAGCCAGGTGGGCGGCGCAGCCAGATCTCCTCGTGCAGGCTGCCCTGCAAGAAAGCAGTGCTGAAGTCAAGTGAGTGAAGCTCGTAGTCGCGGTGAGCGGCTATGTGCAGCAGCACCCGAAGAGTAGTCATCTTCGGGGTGGGGGAGAAGGTCTGGAAGAAATCAACTCCCTCTTGCTGACTGAAGCCTCGAGCCACGTAACGCGCCTTGAAGACAGGCGGAGAACCCGGCGGCCGCTTCACCCTGAAAATCCACATGCCACTGACGATGTTCGCCCCAGGAGGGGGAACCTCGTCGACGTAGGTGCGTGTGGACTTCCAGGAAGCCATCTCGGCGTCCATGGCTGTCTGCCACTGAGAGGAGTAGGGACCTGCCATCGCCTCAGCGTAAGTGCGCGGGGTCGGGATGTCTGGTGCATCCGGGTCTCCCTCAGGGGCAACTAGCAAGGACACGAGACGGGGCAAAGCAGCAGCAAGACACTGGAACTCCTCCTGTCTGTCCTCAAGGACGTCCGTGCCAAGAGCACACTCACCCCCGACGGACGGAGGACAGACAGACTCAGACTCAGACTCAGCAACAAGGCTAGCAGCGTAGTCTAGACGACAGGCAGCAGCAAAGTCAACCAACTCAGCGACCAGAGCAGACGCAGTCGAGGACTCAAAGGTAGGGTCAGTGACAACAGTAGCGAGGAGACGCGTGACAGTAGGGTGCTCAGCACGGTACCGGTCAGACCCAGGGTCCGGAACGTGAGGCAAAGA